CTATATTGTTATTCAACACCACCTTAATACATCTCGTCAGATAGATCTGGGATGAAAGCCCTATCATTTTGCCTATAATGATCAATCCTTCTATGTCTAGAAATCAAGCAATACATCAACTATTAGAAGGAATGTTGAATTTGACATTTATGTCCATGTCAATAAATACAGGGTGAGACAAAAATTCTTTCAACTTCAAGCAATAAAGTACAAAAACAAAACTCCAGGTTATGTTGAATTAATGTTGATTTACAGTGCTACTCAAGAATGTATTTCAGCCTTAAATGTGCTTCAACATCTAGAACCACCACAGCGAAGGTTGAAATAATAGACAACATTTTTAATTTTTGATAGTTTTTGGAATGGAGTGTTATCACAACTAGGATACTATATGAATCTGACAATCAGCGGTAGAAACAAAGTTTTAGTCCACTGGTCCTTATTATGATAACATATGGTGAAACTCTTAAAAATGGCAAATTTCTACTACTCGTTAAGATACCTTTACTATTGGGCGGTTTGACAAGGACAATAGGACTAGTGCCAGGTTCAACTCTGGACAAGGATGCTGGACTTCAGTACTGCCTGTTTCGAGAGAGTCCCCTACACTTGTGACTGGACACAGAGAGAGCGTGGTCTTGGTTGAAGTTTGGTCCTATGTAAGTGTGAAGAAGGTCCAGCAGAGGTCCAACAGAGATCCATGCCAATGTCACACCATGCCGACATTGTGTTGGTTGGAGGGGCAACTTACAAGTATACAATACGTAATTCTCCAGTGCCTGAACACGCTGAAGATGAAACCTTTGCATATCATCTTTGTCATACAGCTATAAAAGACATACAGACCAACAGCATACAGATCAACAGTCTGGCCTACAGCACACAGATCAACAGTCTGGCCTACAGCATACAGATCAAACCTTGGCTTTAAAGGTGGGCTGTCTCCATCAATGAAGCGGGACTGCCCAACTGATGCATACTACTTAGTCTAATACAGGCCCTAAGGGATACACCATAAGTGCTTTTCAGATGCACAGTTTAGTGCTCACGGCATTGAATCTCATTTTGAGACAATACGCTCTGAATCCAAATGACCCAGTTTATCAACAAATTATACTACATTTGTTCTCTAGGTTTAGACACATGTAATATGGTAGTTTTGAATATGTATTTTATTTCACGCCATGTGACATGGCTAACTTTGTTGAACATTCCAAACTGGCAAGGAAATATAAGCCCTGATCAAGTTGTCAAAACACTACAAGCAGCTGACTGAATCTTCAAGTTAAGATAACGCCCATCTGTGAGTAATAGAAAAATTTCCTTCTGGGGCCTCAACACTATTTGATAATTTTTAATAATTCTTCAGACCGGTCATAATTGTTCCAATAATTGTTCAGACCGGTCATAATTGTTTCAATAATTGTTCAGACCGGTCATAATTTTACTCAGTCTTACTCTACATCACACAATATGGACAATAAGTCATGTCCCATTAAAAGACCGGTCATAATTGTTTCAATAATCTTTCAGACCGATCATAATTTTACTCAATCTTACTCTACATCACACAATATGGACAATAAGTCATGTCCCATTAAAAGACCGGTCATAATTGTTTCAATAATCTTTCAGACCGATCATAATTTTACTCAATCTTACTCTACATCACACAATATCGACAATAAGTCATGTCCCATTAAAAGACCCATAAATGTCTAAATCTGCCTCTCAACTCAAAAGCTTCAATGTCCTTATTTTTAGGACATTTTCCCATCTGATACTTAAGCTATATACAAGACACCATTTTCAGGCTTGATCATGTTGATGGTTTGGTGTTAAAATTTCTTACAATCTTATTCTGCATTTACCCCATCCATCATATGAAAGCCACAGACATGGAACCAGGATCTTTCATACTCCATACATTACTTAAAAATAATTCCACTCAACAACCAACAAATCTGTAAAATGTAAAATGTAAAATGCAAAGCAGTAAGTCTGCAAAACAATACCGTTAATAAACTACAACCTACATATAACAGATCTGACGAACAGAAATATCACAGCAAACAAACCCTTAATAACCTCCGATTCATGACTTCCAACAAAACCAAATTAGGACTAAAACTACTTACATTCCAAGCCTTCATTAATAACATAACATCCGATCTCAAGCATATGGAATGAATGAATACAAGTACAATTCATTGTAAAGTTTGTACAAGCAGAGAGTTTCTAAGAGAACCACATTCATCATGTTCATAAACCACGTTCATAAAGAGTATATGTGAATATGAAAAAGCAGAACGATCTATACTAATAGCATTATGAAACAATAAGCGATAAGTACAAGTAGCATGACATACAGAGTTGTCTCCCCCTATATATCCTTGCTACTCCCCCCCCACACACACACACACACAACCACATATCAGCTCTGCATTCAGTAGTGGAGAGTGCTTTCACATATTTTCTATCAGTTATAAGTTTCCAATGTGTTAGAAAAGATATCATGGTTATTTAAAAAAAAAATGCAATTTGTTGACATGATAAAAAAATAATAAAATAAATAAATAATATTACTTCAAGCAGTTATCATAAAAGGCATACCGTAATACATCTCCTATGTTAATGTGTTCCTCAACTAAGACAGTAGAGATATATAGGGGAGGTAGTAACCATGGCAACTTTAGGCTGATGAGAACAAATCCGTTTCTTACAGATATTAAAATTCTTTGTTTGTATGCCAATTAAGGCTTACTTCACACATATAAAAACTTATAAACAGAGGTTTATCTAAGCTTCCAAAGTAAGTTTCCTTGGCAGGCAAATTTGGAAAAATTGGAGAGGATCGCCCCACTCAACCAAAGAGGAACGTCCCACTCATCCAAAGAGGAACGCCCCACTCATCCAAAGAGGAACACCCCACTCAATCAGAGAGGAACGCCCCACTCAATCAGAGAGGAACGCCCCACTCAACCAAAGAGGAACGCCCCATTCAACCAAAGAGGAACGCCCCACTCAACCAAAGAGGAACGCCCTACTCAACCAAAGAGGAACGCCCCACTCAACCAAAGAGGAACGCCCCACTCAATCAGAGAGGAACGCCCCACTCAATCAGAGAGGAACGCAACACTCAATCAGAGAGGAATGCCCCACTCAACCAAAGAGGAACGCCCCACTCAACCAAAGAGGGAAGCCCCACTCAACCAAAGAGGGACGCCCCACTCAACCAAAGAGGAACGCCCTGCTCAATCAGAGAGGAACGCCCCGCTCAATCAGAGAGGAACGCCCCACTCAATCAGAGAGGAACGCCCCCTCAATCAGAGAGGAACGCCCCACTCAATCAGAGAGGAACGCAACACTCAATCAGAGAGGAATGCCCCACTCAACCAAGGAGGAACGCCCCGCTCAACTGAATGCAGAGGTGATGAGGGCAGCTTGTTCTGGGGTATGGAATGCTTCCTACCCTGATATATGTCAAAGCTAAACTGATATATCAGTGTTTATCAAAATTACAAAAATATAAATGTTGATATGCAAGGAGCATAATGTACATAGTCATATATGTAGTCATACTTCACAAAAATATGCATAAATGTTATCAATCAATATTGAAACATGCAATTTCATCCAGCTGAGTAACTGCAGAAAATGTCAAACAGTGCTGTGAGATTATTGATGAAGTCTGCAGATTCTACTATCTACATGAAAGTAGGACAGGGTCCAGAATGTTCAACACATAATGTTCATCACAATGTAAGTTATGTGGGGTATTCTCATAAAACATATTCTAAATGCCTTCTTGTCTGATAATATCATAATGATATGCCATGTCGTTATAAATATCAGATGTAAGTATGTTTGGTGAATGTAAAATAATCTGGTTCATCAAGGCACAGACACTTGTTAGTGCCAACTTCTGTGCAGCATCATCACAATTGTCCAACAAAGGCTGCTTTTATCTGCTTACTATAGTAGTATCTGTGCAATTGTCAGTTATATTAAACATACAACCCTTTCATCACGTTCATCGAGATATGTTTCAATGGTCCCTGATTTTACACATGTGAGGTGAGAAAGATATTTCAATATTCTCAAACTAAACACACACCTAACAGGTCTCAAGTTGTCTTTTAATCCTGAGATCATCAACTGCCATTAAAAGGAGTCAGTAACTAACTTGCTCTGTGTTAATCTAACCTGGCAGCCATCCATAACAGTGATAGAAACTAACTTTGTTAGTCCACAAGTTCTTATAATGATAACATATAGCAAAACCCTCAAAAAAGGCCTTTTGATATCTTAACTATTGGGCAGTTTGACAAGAACTATAGGACTAGTCCCAATTTCTAACACTGCATAAAATCATCTTGCAAGTAAAGGCTAGCAAATAATTGTTCATTTATACATATCCATTTATACTGTTTTCAAAAGCCTGATTGCAAATGATATAGATTTTGTAGCAACATATCGGCAAATCTGATAATTATATAGTTTCACTGTTTTCATATGCTACTCAGAAGAAGTTAAGGAACACCTGATGCTGTCATATCACAATAGTTACTCTGTCATTGCATATGAAAGAATGGGGTGTTCTTTAACTTGTTTTGAGTAGTATATGTTAGAAACACTTCATATCTACATCTTGTGCCAGCAAGTCTTCAGTGAGCCAAGATCTGAATGTCAGCTTTCATCATGAAGGCACTAGAACCAGCACAGCTTGTCTTCTACAAAGGTACACTTTGTTACCATGGTTATAGGAGAGAACATGGCATCATAGTCCTGTGATGTCAGTTCAGCCAATCAAGAGGAGCCACACTGAATGGTGCAGTGACTCCTGCACCCGCTGATCTAAGCTGACGTTTGATTGGGCATATCGCTGAGGGACAGGTGCAGTATGGAGCGCCGTGATTGGCTACCCTGGGGGAGCGTGGGGAGACTGATTGTGATTGTCTGTGAATCATAGGGTCCTGAATAGGAGGATATTCGCTTACGTTGTGCTTTTGTAGAGGCGGAGTTCTTCAGATACTGCTTGGCCTTCTTGCCGCTGAAGTCCCTCATGTTGGCATCAGCTCCTGGAACATGGTGAGTGAGTGAGTGAGTGAGTGAGTGAGTGAGTGAGTGAGTGAGTGAGTGAGTGAGTGAGTGAGTGAGTGAGTGAGTGAGTGAGTGAGTGAGTGAGTGAGTGAGTGAGTGGGTGGGTGGGTGGGTGGGTGGGCGAGCGAGCGAGCGAGCGAGCTACTGAAATCTATGTTCAACTGCTGGGTTTGCCCACAATCTGACTCATTCATCACAAATGGGCTTCATAATGTTTATGATTTGGTTGGTTGGTTGGTTTGTTGTTTAACGCCGCACTCAGCATTATTCCAGCTATAGGTGGTCTGTAAATAATCGAGTCTGGACCAGACAATCCAGTGATTGACATCATGAGCATCATTCCACGCAATTGGGATCGATGACATGCATCAACCAAGTCAGTGAGCCTGACCCCCCGATCCTGTTAGTTGCCTTTTACGACAAGCATAGTCACCTTTTACGGCAAGCATGGGTTGCTGAAGACCTATTCTACCCTGGAATCTTCACGGGTATAATGTTTATGAACTGATAATGTGTTAAATTTCAATTATCCCTTCTTATGACGTTACCGTCTCAGTTTAATCTTTATGAACTGAGACGGTAACGTCATGAGAATGGATAATTGAAACTTAACACATTATCAAAGAATTCACTCATAACAATGAATCACATAGGCTGGTGATGATGAAGTCACTTTGTGGAGACATCAATGATAGACAGACATTCTATATAATAGCAACCAGTATTGTTATATTACATGGCTATGACACTCATGTTTTCAGTATAGATAAGACTTACTGTATGTCTGCACCAGGAGAGATATGATGTCTTCATGACCATGGATGGCTGCCATGTGGAGAGGCGTGTAACCCTGGGGAGGACAAAACACTGCATAAAGTACTCAGGACATTATGAGGAGAGGTGGGATGGGGTGTAGTGAGTGAGTGAGTATGATTTTACGCCGCTTTTAGCAATATTCCAGCAATATCACGGCAGGGGACCCCAGAAATGGGCTTCACACATTGTACCCATGTCGGGAATCGAACCCAGGTCTTTGGCGTGACGAGCGAACTCTTTAACCACTAGGCTACCCGACCACCCTCAGGACATTAGGAGGAGAGGTGGGATGGGGTGTAACGTTGCGTCCAAGATTATTGCACTTATACAGCGACAGGTGTGTGTGAGCAGCTGCTTGTACTAGTCCAGACTAATACTGGTTTTATAGGGCTAGCCCACTGAGATACCATGCTGCAGTTGAACATGAATTTTGTTGTGAACATGAGCACACTATACCATCTAATACCGACTCGGAGGCGACCAGTCCTTGTTTTATCCCCCTAATGCTGAGCACCAGGCTGAACAACAAGTACCATCTTTTTCGTCTTTCGGTATGACATGGCCATGGACCGAACAACCGACCTTCCGCTCTCCAGGCAGACGCTCCGACCACAGAGGCGATCAGACAACAGGAACCAGATAAGAAAAACCCCACCATGTTTCTTTCTTTGACGTTACAACAAACTACATAACATATCTAGATTCATATGTGCGTTTAACATAGTTGATGTGTCAGAGTGCTGTATTGAATGTTGTCTTCTCCTGTAGCTGGAGAAACAACGGTTGTATAATAGCTCCTTTAAATAACCAGTGGTTGATAGCAGGAGCAATAATCAATGTAATCAGGATATGAACAAACAGAAGTTGGGCAGGTCTCATATTGTAACCACTTGACACTCGTTACAAGTTAATACAAGAATGAGGTACTTGTTCTGCCGATGGGGCTTTCATGTCAAACACATATGTAAGCCATGACCTCACTATCATAAGTACCTGGTAGATATTTCTATCATAGACTAAGCATACTAAGAGGACCAATACCACATACTGAACATGCACGAACTATATCTCAGACAATATGATAAAAAAAACTTGTAAACTGTCAATATGATTTTCTCAGCAAATTATGCTGCTATATCATATATGACCAGACCTTAGATATATTGTATTACATGTCTGTACTTACCCCCTAGATGGTCCAGTATGGAAAAGAGAGAAATGACATACATGAACAGGACATCTTATACACAATGAAATCGTCAACACACAACAGCCATCAACTACCATGACCACCCCAATGTATGTATCAGTATCAGTCAACACAACAGCCGACAACTACCATGACTACCTCAATGTATTTATCAGTATCAGTCAAGCACAGAACAAAGAGTTTTAAGTTACTGTCTACAATTGTTTGAATGGCATTCTACTAGTTGGTCAGTAAGTCAGAAAACATACTACCTTATGGACAACAACTTCTAGTGGTGTAACGATACATCGAACTATCGATTGATTGCGATTGCTTGTCTCACGATAGTACACTATCGATTGCAACTTGAAACAATCGATACTATTAGCGATAGTTTGTCTAACTATCGATAGTTTCGATAGTTAATTTGTTTGGTACATATACTTTCTTAAAAAGCATAGAAACAACTCCTCAGAAAGTTATATCTAGTTTGATGGTGTCAGTCAAAATGCTGAAATATATGCTGCTAAAGCCTGCTATAATTGCAAGTGAAAACTATCGCAATAGTATCGCAATAGTAGGGCCACTATCGCAATAGTATCGCAATAGTTGTTTTAACTATCGCAATAGTATCGCAATAGTCAAAAATGCCTCAATAGTCACCCCTAACAACTTCTGGATAGAGAGATGTTTCGATGTAGATTCTTACACCGTTATCAAGCTGGAGTGACAAGAGCCAAGTGATGAGAGGTATCATATGCATGATATGTTGTGATAACCAGCGGATTATCACTGACAAGAAGTTATTATCCATAAAGTTGTATGTTTTCTTACTTACTGTCTACAATGTTTACATATCATGTTTACAGTTGTTTAAGTAAGAACACAGAAGGAAGTGAATCAACAGTCCTTGTTAAACCAAATGGCAGTCAAACGTCCTACTTACGTGCTGTAGATTCAAACAGAGGCAGGTAGCAATATCCAGAAAAAAAAGAAATTCTTCAAATTAGTTCCACATAGTGATTTCCCCATGTACAACTTGGACAACCCCATCATGAAGCCAGTTAAGTTTGAGCTACTTGTACCATGCATAACACATATTAATACTTTATTCACAGTTTCTGGTATCATTTAGGGGTGTCATTGATTAAAATTTTAGCATTGAAAAATCAACTAAAAATATCTTCATATATCAATATATAAATAATAATAAAATGTATTATACTGTGTGTATGCATAGACAAACGTTACCTAAGTAGACCTTAAGTAATCCATTTACTGCTAAACATGAACTAGGTTAAGAAGACAATTTCTATGGATGAACAACCGCTTTATTACAATAAGTGCGACGTTTCAGTGTAGATCCCAACACCTTTATCAAGCAAGTGACTTGATAAAGGTGTTAGGATCTACACCGAAACGTCTCACTTATTGTAATAAAGAAGTTGTTCATCCATAGAAATTGTCTTCTTCATCACACCAACTTCTAAATGCCTATGAAACAAGTTATGAACTAGGTCGATCCATGAAATGATTTCTGACTTCTCATTCTTTGTCCATCTATACCATGGTTATCTTAATTATCAATTTATCAATTAAGTATGTACATACACAACAGAAATTGGGGAACATCAATATCGCGATATACGACAGCCCTAGTTTAATGTCCTGGGCCTGGGATTCAAAGCAATCTTAGTGCTAATAGGATCCTCAGTCAGTTACAACAGTCATCGCGCGGTGTGTGGCACGAGACCCTGGTTCCAAACGAGGAACTGACCAAAGGTAACCATGGTAACCACATGGCCTGGTTTCAATCCTGGCATCCTCAAGGAGCTGTTGGTGTACTAAGATCATGCCAGAGAGCCCTGTGTAGCCTGCCTGACCAATGACACTGGCCTGTTGGGCAACATATGTCTTCCTCTCACTCATGATACATGTCACATGAAAAACTTATTTATCAACCATAATTCACAATCTTAAGTACAGTTGTAGAAAATTACATATATCAGAAAATACTACAAATATAAATAAACAAAATTTCAAACTGTTAAAGTATGGATAAGAGTGTGAGACACTTAACCAAGATCAGCCAATTTTGGCAGTGACATTCACCAGAACAGAGCAGAACAGCACCTTATTTCTCTCAGGCAGAGTACATCGGCATATGAGGTACAAACAGTATTTTACATTTCAGTCAAAGAGGTTAACCAGGTGAAATGGTGAAATTGGGTTTAACGTCGTGTCCAAGATTATTGCACTTATATAGCAACGTGCATGTACATGTATGTGTTTGTGTGGCTGCTTGTACTAGTCCGGACTGATGCTGATTTATAGTGCTAGCTTACTGAGATACCATGCCGCAGTTTAACATGAATACCCCACTCAGACACAGTATACTGACTCCGAACCGACCAGTCCTTGTTTTAGCCCCTTAATGCAGAGCGCCAGACAGGGTAACAACAAGTACCATCTATTAACGTCTTTTGGTATGACGCGGCCGGGGATCGAACCCCGGACCTTCCGCTCTAGACCATGGAGGCCGTCAGGTTAACCAGGAGTTTTTACAATTTTCATTATAATGTTTACACATTTTCATAGTTTCTTTTTGACAGAGATCTTATGACAGTTAAATAATTGCTGGAGTTGTAACATATTTGGTCTTTTCAAATAGTGTTATGGGATGTATGTGTCCCTTTGTTCATTGACATATTTACATTTGAACATGTTGAAGATGTAGTGGAATTCAACTCCAATGTCAAAACTATCAGTAATTTTCAAATATATAAGGTATTACTCTGTAGCTTTTTCACTTAAGTTTTCAGGCACACGGAAACAAGGGTCCAACCAACCAGCATCAAGGGTACATGTTAGTCCTCTCACATATTGGAAAGAACAAAGTGAGAGGAGATCTCTTACCGTCCTGGAGTTGACGCTAACGCCAGGCTTTGATGCAACTAGCTTGACGACCTCTGCCTTGCCGTGTTTACATGCCCAGTGCAGCGCCGTCTGGAGGCAGAGAAGATGAGTTCAGAGACAGTGTGTCGGGATGTAAATTTGACCATCACCCTGACAACAAGATACTGGATGCATGTCATCTCTAGTATCTGTTGGTTGTTTAATACAGCAATAATCCAACTGTATGACAGCTTCCTGTAAATAGTCCAGTCTGGACCAGACAATCCAGTGATCGATTTTATAAGCAGCCACACACATTTTCAGGGTACGATGACACACAATCAACCAAGTCAATGAGTCTGACAACCTGATCCATCAAGTCACCTCTTACGAGCAAGTATGATTTTATGCTTTATTTTAGAAATATTCCAGCAACATCACGGCCATGGACACCAGAAATGGGCTTCACACACCATATCCATGTAAGGAATAGAACCCGGGCCTTAGGGGTGACAAGCAAACACTTTAATCACTAGGCTATCCCACTGTCCCTCACCTGTTACGGCAAGCATAGGTTACTGAGGGCCTTTTCTAACCCGGAATCCAAACGAGGAAAATCTATATAAACCTATATGTCTATTCTCTTTTAAAATGGTCATGTGAAGTCTTTTATGTTTGTTTGCCACACTCAGCATTATTCCAGCCACATGAGGTCAGTCTGTAAATGATCAAGTCTGGACCAGAAAAACCAGTGGTTGATATCATGAGCTTCGATCTTAGCAATTTGGAAATGATGACATGCATCAACTAAGCCAGCGACCGATTCCATTAGTCACCTCTTATGACAAGCATCTTCGCCTCTTACGACAAGCATGGGTTGCTGAAGAGTTTTTCTAGCCCAGATCTTCACTGGTCGTGAAGTCTTGAAAAAGTGTATAGAATGTTAATAACTTGAAAGGTTTTGTAGACTTTGACACAACTATATATTTCATTGCCTTGACTATTATCCAGCAACTTGATACTTACATACTGAGGAATCCAGGAGAGGCAGCAGCAGTTGAAATGAACAGAATAACACATTAGACTTCTCCATGTTATACATACATTTCTAAAAACACTCCTTCCTTGTTCAGCATACAGTATTTTCATTAAACATATGATGCTTATTTACTCACAGAATAATATCAAATGTTTTATCACATATGGTTGAACCTGTTAAAACGTTAAAACAATCATCTTTAATTAGTTCTCTTTAACCTTCTCTATGAGTTGAATTATTGAATACTTACACCCTGGAGTTGTTGAGTGGATATGTGGAAGAAATAAAACACTGATTAGAATGTATCAACATTCCCATTACATACGTCACATCCGTGAGAGAGGCAATAGAGAACACCGTGAACAAACATTATTATCAATTATCATAACCACATATAATCTGGAATTACGTAAAGAGAAATCATAACCAATAATTTATAGGGATACAAATTGAAAAACATCTATTAGACCGAATAGTGATGACATATAGGACACGCCCTACAAAATGTTTGAAATTCTCCTGAGGATATATTTTACATGAACAAAACTGGTGATGTAGCAGCTGGGTGATGTAGCAAACTGGTGATGTAGCTAACTGGTGATGTAGCTAACTGGTGATGTAGCTAACTGGTGATGTAGCTAACTGGTGATGTAGCAAACTGGTGATGTAGCAAACTGGTGATGTAACTAACTGGTGATGTAACTAACTGGTGATGTAGCTAACTGGTAATGTAGCAGATGGGTGATGTAGCTAACTGGTGATGTAGCAGCTGGGTGATGTAGCAAACTGGTGATGTAGCAAACTGGTGATGTAGCAAACTGGTGATGTAGCAAACTGATGATGTAGCAGCTGGGTGATGTAGCAAACTGGTGATGTAGCAAACTGGTGATGTAGCAAACTGGTGATGTAGCAGCTGGGTGATGTAGCAAACTGGTGATGTAGCAGATGGGTGATGTAGCAGCTGGGTGATGTAGCAAACTGGTGATGTAGCAAACTGGTGATGTAGCAAACTGGTGATGTAGCAAACTGATGATGTAGCAAACTGGTGATGTAGCAGCTGGGTGATGTAGCAAACTGGTGATGTAGCAAACTGGTGATGTAGCTAACTGGTGATGTAGCAAACTGGTGATGTAGCCATCAGGTGATGTAGCTAGCTGGTGATGGAGCTAACTGGTGATGTAGCAAACTGGTGATGTAGCAGATGGGTGATGTAGCTAACTGGTGATGTAGCTAACTGGTGATGTAGCAGATGGGTGATGTAGCAAACTGGTGATGTAGCAGATGGGTGATGTAGCAAACTGGTGATGTAGCTAACTGGTGATGTAGCTAACTGGTGATGTAGCAAACTGGTGATGTAGCTAACTGGTGATGTAGCTAACTGGTGATGTAGCAGCTGGGTGATGTAGCAAACTGGTGATGTAGCAGATGGGTGATGTAGCTAACTGGTGATGTAGCTAACTGGTGATGTAGCTAACTGGTGATGTAGCAGATGGGTGATGTAGCAAACTGGTGATGTAGCAAACTGGTGATGTAGCAGCTGGGTGATGTAGCAGCTGGGTGATGTAGCAAACTGGTGATGTAGCAAACTGGTGATGTAGCTAACTGGTGATGTAGCTAACTGGTGATGTAGCAGCTGGGTGATGTAGCAAACTGGTGATGTAGCAGATGGGTGATGTAGCTAACTGGTGATGTAGCTAACTGGTGATGTAGCTAACTGGTGATGTAGCAGATGGGTGATGTAGCAAACTGGTGATGTAGCAGATGGGTGATGTAGCAAACTGGTGATGTAGCTAACTGGTGATGTAGCAAACTGGTGATGTAGCTAACTGGTGATGTAGCTAACTGGTGATGTAGCAGCTGGGTGATGTAGCAAGCTGGTGATGTAGCAGATGGGTGATGTAGCTAACTGGTGATGTAGCTAACTGGTGATGTAGCAAACTGGTGATGTAGCAGCTGGGTGATGTAGCAAACTGGTGATGTAGCTAACTGGTGATGTAGCTAACTGGTGATGTAGCAGCTGGGTGATGTAGCTAACTGGTGATGTAGCTAACTGGTGATGTAGCTAACTGGTGATGCAGCAAACTGGTGATGTAGCTAACTGGTGATGTAGCAAACTGGTGATGTAGCAGCTGGGTGATGTAGCTAACTGGTGATGTAGCTAACTGGTGATGTAGCTAACTGGTGATGTAGCAAACTTGTGATGTAGCAGCTGGGTGATGTAGCTAACTGGTGATGTAGCTAACTGGTGATGTAGCTAACTGGTGATGCAGCAAACTGGTGATGTAGCTAACTGGTGATGTAGCAGCTGGGTGATGTAGCAAACTGGTGATATAGCTAACTGGTGATGTAGCTAACTGGTGATGTAGCTAACTGGTGATGTAGCAGATGGGTGATGTAGCAAACTGGTGATGTAGCAGATGGGTGATGTAGCAAACTGGTGATGTAGCTAACTGGTGATGTAGCAAACTGGTGATGTAGCTAACTGGTGATGTAGCTAACTGGTGATGTAGCAGCTGGGTGATGTAGCAAACTGGTGATGTAGCTAACTGGTGATGTAGCTAACTGGTGATGTAGCTAACTGGCGATGTAGCTAACTGGTGATGTAGCTAACTGGTGATGTAGCAGCTGGGTGATGTAGCAAACTGGTGATGTAGCAGCTGGGTGATGTTGCCAACTGGTGATGTAGCAGCTGGGTGATGTAGCAAACTGGTGATGCAGCTAACTGGTGATGTAACTAACTGCTGATGTAGCTAAGTGGTGATGTAGCTAACTTGTGATGTAGCAAACTGGTGATGTAGCAGCTGGGTCATGTTGCCAACTGGTGATGTAGCAGCTGGGTGATGTAGCCGCTGGGTGATGATGTAGCTAACTGGTAATGTAGCTATCGGGTGATGTAGCTAACTGGTGATGTAGCAAACTGGTGATGTAGCAAACTGGTGATGTATCTATATGGTGATGTATCTATATGGTGATGTAGCAGCTGGGTGATGTAGCAAACTGGTGATGTAGCAGCTGGGTGATGTTGCCAACTGGTGATGTAGCAGCTGGGTGATGTAGCCGCTGGGTGATGATGTAGCTAACTGGTAATGTAGCTATCGGGTGATGTAGCTAACTGGTGATGTAGCAAACTGGTGATGTAGCAAACTGGTGATGTATCTATATGGTGATGTAGCAGCTGGGTGATGTAGCTAACTGGTGATGCAGCAAACTGGTGATGTAGCAAACTGATGATGTAGCAGCTGGGTGATGTAGCTAACTGGTGATGTAGCAGCTGGGTGATGTAGCAAACTGGTGATGTAGCTAACTGGTGATGTAGCTAACTGGTGATGTAGCAGCTGGGTGATGTAGCAAACTGGTGATGTAGCTAACTGGTGATGTAGCAGATGGGTGATGTAGCTAACTGGTGATGTAGCAGCTGGGTGATGTAGTAGCTGGGTGATGTTGCCAACTGGTGATGTAGCAGCTGGGTGATGTAGTAGCTGGGTGATGTAGCAAACTGGTGATGTAGCAGCTGGGTGATGTAGTAGCTGGGTGATGTAGTAGCTGGGTGATGTTGCCAACTGGTGATGTAGCAGCTGGGTGATGTAGTAGCTGGGTGATGTTGCCAACTGGTGATGTAGCAGCTGGGTGATGTAGTAGCTGGGTGATGTAGTAGCTGGGTGATGTTGCCAACTGGTGATGTAGCAGCTGGGTGATGTAGTAGCTGGGTGATGTTGCCAACTGGTGATGTAGCAGCTGGGTGATGTAGTAGCTGGGTGATGTAGTAGCTGGGTGATGTTGCCAACTGGTGATGTAGCAGCTGGGTGATGTAGTAGCTGGGTGATGTTGCCAACTGGTGATGTAGCAGCTGGGTGATGTAGTAGCTGGGTGATGTAGCAAACTGGTGATGTAGCAGCTGGGTGATGTAGTAGCTGGGTGATGTAGCAAACTGGTGATGTTGCCAACTGGTGATGTAGCAAACTGGTGATGTAGTAGCTGGGTGATGTAGCAAACTGGTGATGTAGCAAACTGGTGATGTAGCTAACTGGTGATGTAGCTAACTGGTGATGTAGCTAACTGGTGATGTAGCTAACTGGTGATGCAGCTAACTGGTGATGTAGCAGCTGGGTGATGTAGCAGCTGGGTGAAGTAGCAAACTGGTGATGTAGCAGGCTGGTGCTCTGTCTCTTATTGATGATGATAACTACATTACAAATGATAATCTGGCCACAGTTTGGATGATGACAGAGATGTGGGTCTGTACTCACATTCGTGAAATTCTGAAACATAAATGTGGAAACGACTTTGTAAATGTGTAATACTTATAAAATAGATGAAATACAAAACAGTTATGATAACATGATCTAGATGGTACCAGGGAACTCGTGAAAGTAATTCTAGCTGGTATCTGGGAAACTGATTTAAACATTATATCTCTCTAAAACAAGAATTTGTAATTCATAATTATTTAAAACATAGAAAATGAAAAAAAATACTCCAACACCGACACACACTTACAGCTACATATGTATCTTTCTGAGGCAAGGGAGATAACTGACCATAAAAGTCCTGTTTCCACCCATGCCAAACTAGGCTGGAATTGAGTTTGGAACGGAGTTTGGGCTGGACTAACAAGTCTATGCATAGTCAAACAAAATCGACATCCGGTTCATAAACTGCCATGCAGGTTTCGGTTGATTGCAAGATTTGCTAAGCATGTGTACCGACAACTTAACATCAACAGATATTTTCCAATCTTTTCATGTTTTTTTATTTGATTTGATTGGATGCACTTTGCGAAAAAGACCCGTTTTATCACAAAACAGATTTTGATTATCGATCAGATTGTCTTGACTCGGCGCCGCCATTTTGTTTGATGCAAATGCAAGTGATATGAGAGGTGGAATCTGATTGGTCAATAGGAGGGACATAGAAGGGACATGACTCGTAACAGTTGCTGGTGGCGCTACGATTGAGCCCAGCCTAGTTCGGCAAGGGTGGAAACTCGACTTTTACAGTCAGTTAACTCCCTTGCCCCGGGAAGATGCTACACATGAAACTTAATTTGTTTGGAAGGTAAAACACTGACATTCATCTGTAACAGTGGAAGCTGTGCTCCACACGTACCTTAAGTTTGGCCAGCTGTGGGTTCTTGCTGAGCAGCCTGTTCATGTCATGGTATTCCGAGTGGCAGCACGTCAACATCCACTCCCTCTCCTCAGGGTCCAGCTGAAACAGGCAATACACAAATACAGAGTGGGGAGTAGCGTTTATACTGTCCTCAGGGTCGAGCTGAAACAGGCAATACACAAATACAGAGTGGGGAGTAGAGTTTATACTGTCCTCAGGGTCCAGATGAAACAGGCAATGCACAAATACAGAGTGGGGAGTAGAGTTTATACTGTCCTCAGGGTCCAGCTGAAACAGGCAATGCACAAATACAGAGTGGGGAGTAGAGTTTATACTGTCCTCAGGGTCCAGCTGAAACAGGCAATACACAAATACAGAGGGAGAGTGTAGAGTTCATACTGTCCTCAGGGTCCAGCTGAAACAGGCAATACACAAATACAGAGTGGGGAGTACAGTTTATACTGTCTTCAGGGTCCAGCTGAAACAGGCAACACACAAATACAGAGTGGGGAGTAGAGTTTATACTGTCCTCAGGTTCCAGCTGAAACAGGCAATACACAAATACAGAGTGGGGAGTAGAGTTTAAACTGCTTCTCCACCACTACAAGCTGTCAACATGGTGTGTGTCGTATTACTCACCGTGACAAATGATGTGCCTGACTGGGAGTCATCATCATCTCCTCCAGAACCCCGGCTTCCCTGAAGGTACAAGCACAGACAGTTAGTTTCATCATTGTTTGTTTGTTTGTTGTTTAAAGATGCACTCAGAGGCCTGTAAATAACTGAGTCTGGACCAGACAATCCACTGATGGACATAGTATGTGAACAACAATCCATGCCACTGGGGTACCAGGACACACAATCAACCAAGTCACTAAGCCTGACCACCCGATTCATTCAGTTACCTCCTTTGACCAGCATACCAATTCTAACCCAGAATCCCCACCGGTAGGACAGGATAGGTTACGAGGGTACCAATTCTAACCCGGAATCCCCACGGGTAGGACAGGATAGGTTACGAGGGTACCAATTCTAACCCGGAATCCCAACGGGTAGGACAGGATAGGTTACGAGGGTACCAATTCTAACCCAGAATCCCCACGGGTAGGACAGGATAGGCTACGAGGGTACCAATTCTAACCCGGAAAGCCCAACGGGTAGGACAGGATAGGTTACGAGGGTACCAATTCTAACCCGGAATCCCCACGGGTAGGACAGGAAAGGTTGCGGGGGTACCAATTCTAACCAGGAATCCCCAAGGATAGGACAGGATAGGTTACGAGGGTACCAATTCTAACCCGGAATCTCCACAGGTAGGACTGGATAGGTTACGAGGGTACCAATTCTTACCCGGAATCCCCAAGGGTAGGACAGGATAGGTTGCGGGGTACCAATTCTAACCCGGAATCCCCAAGGGTAGGACAGGATAGGTTACGAGGGAACCAATTCTAACCCGGAATCCCCAAGGGTAGGACAGGATAGGTTACAAGGGTACCAATTCTAACCCCGGAATCTCCACAGGTAGGACAGGATAGGTTACGAGGGTACCAATTCTAACCCAGAATCTCCACAGGTAGGACAGGATAGGTTTCGGGGTACCAATTCTAACCCGGAATCTCCACAGGTAGGACAGGATAGGTTTCGGGGTACCAATTCTAACCCGGAATCCCCACGGGTAGGACTGGATAGGTTTCGGGGTACCAATTCTAACCCGGAATCCCCACGGGTAGGACAGGATAGGTTGCGGGGGTACCAATTCTAACCCGGAATCCCCACGGTAAAGGGAAAGGTTGCGGGGGTACCAATTCTAACACGGAATCCCCAAGTTAGGACAGGATAGGTTGCGGAGGTACCAATTAACCAATGATTAACAACAGACTTTCGTCATCTGAAACTACTACAAAGACATTTCCTCAGCATAAGGTGATTACAGGTGGACATTGCCTGAACATGAAAATCCTAGACAAGCTGACAAAGTGTACTCAATCTCATTATAATCAGATCTTAGTTCTTGCTACCACTCAACAAAGATCTGAAGACATCCCATTAGGGGTCACGTCAGAACAACCTTTCATCCGACCAATCAGAGCTTCGCTTACCAGATCATGAAAGTGACAGTCGGAATGTGATTGCTGATCATGCAACCTCGAAAACTTTAACATGGGGTATTCCGAACGATAGTTACGGGCATAACGACTGAATCCATACAATCTGGACCATCTATTTATCCATTCCAGAATGTTCTTTTGTTCAGGTTTCAAATTTGTAATCGAGAATTTGTCAAAATATGTGTCGAAGCGTAGTCGCAAATTTGAAATAAGCGTCGTAAAGCACAAGAAAGCTGCCTTCTGATTGGCTAATGTCGACTTCTTGTTAGTCATTCCATTGGTCAGTAAGGTCGGTCTGACGTGACCTATAATGGGGTGTCCTCAGATCTTTGTTTAGCGTTTGCGAGAACTAAGATCTGATTTTAATGAGATTGAACTGTACTTGCATGTCCAACTCTTATTAAAGAACCCTTGCCTTCTAAGCACATGGCCTTACATATTTTGGTTCCTTCTTCTTGGAAGGCTGGTTAACAAGGAGGTCACTCTCGGACTGCATGCGGTTCAGATGCTTGGCCCGCTCCTTGACGCTCAGCACGGACATGTTCTGGTCTTCCTCAGTGGACGTCTGAGAAGACTTGCCGGAACCTTGAGATTCCTGAAAACATCAAGCAAAAGTCTCACTGTTTTTCCCTTTTTCTGAACAGACAAAAGCATCTCTTAACAGTAATAACACATGCCAATAAATGCAGTACCAGGATGTGGCATGGAACAAAACCTTGTCCATCACAGACACAGTTGGCCAGCCTACTTCAATGTTTTTGTGGAGGTAGATAGAAGTTGTTAATATGTTGTAACTGTCAGTTGCAACAAATGATTGAACTACTGGTTAAAAAATATCAAGTGCTGTCTTGGTCCTGTTTGAACAGCAATGAACAGCAGCCAGCTTAGCTATCCAGAATGTTTGGTCCTATAATTTAGAGTTATCTGCCCCTTGTATACATAAACATGGCAGGCTTGAAGGTTTAAGATGTTTCGGGATGAGACAGTTTCTAGAACGCTGGCTGTACCTAAGACAATAAGACAGCATCTCTATGCCTTTTTTTGACTTGTTGCTAATCTACTTGCCAAGTGCAGTTTGGCTACCTATTTGTACACACCAAATTCCTGCCATCTTCCAACACTCATCTGGAATCAAGCATGGACACGGGCCTCTTTCAAGACATTCAACAGTGACAGAATTCTGAACATTCATTCTAATGCGTGTTACTTATGGCTGCATTGTATTGCATGTGTTGATTGTAAACCTAACATAATTTATTGATTATTCATTGATCCTGTGTGGTCATTTACAGATTTCACAATTTAGTTCTTTGGGGACAGACTTCTGGGTTCACCTTTGCATTTCAATTTGGAAATCACCTTGTAGCACCACCAAAATTTATCACAAATCATAGAAGCATATTTACATCATATATCTAACAAACTAACTTGAGTAATCCCTTACTGCTTATCTGCTAATAACTTGTTCTCAACTAACAGTCAGTGGTAGTCCAAAGCCTAGGCAGAGTACAGTCTGTGTCATACCCTTCAGTGTCTGTTACCCCAACAATGTTGTCTCCTGGCGTCATTTTCAGAAGATTTTTGTATTTATCAAGTTCTCCTGGTTAATCATATGTTAATACAAGTATATTGACTTTCTTAGCTAAGCATACTGTGGCAATCAAACTTTCACTTTGACTCCTGCTTCAGACTAGTGGATAAAATCTCAGACAAATTTTGCTTAGTCTAATACATGTAAAAAGCTCAGATAATAGCCCACATAAAAAGTAAAATTGATTTTGAGAAACAAAGGTTTTGGGATAGTTGACTCACTAGTTCTTGGCACAGAATGAATTAATCACTCTTGTCGTCATTTTTCACAATGATAGATGCGCTCTAGGTGTTCTACTGACTGTGGAGGCAATGAATGTTCTACTGACTGTTGGAGGCAATGAATGTTATACTGACCATGGAAGCAATGAATGTTGTACTGACCGTGGAAGCAATGAATGTTATACTGACCGTGGAAGCAATGAATGTTCTTCTGACCATGGAGGCAATGAATGTTCTACTGACCGTGGAAGCAGTGGATGTTCTACTGACTGATGGAGGCAATGAGTGTTCTACTGACTGTTGGAGGCAATGAAAAGTTCTACTGATCGTGGAGGCAATGAATGTTCTACTGACCGTGGAGGCAATGAATGTTCTACTGACCGTGGAGGCAATGAATGTTCTACTGACCGTGGAGGCAATGAATGTTCTACTGACTGTTGGAGGCAATGAATGTTCTACTGACGGTGGAAGCAATGAATGTTCTACTGACCGTGGAAGCAATGGATGTTGTAGACATGGCCAGACTGCTGATGCTGATGCTGTCTGCAGAATGGACGGAGCCCTTCATCTGGGAATCCAGGCTCCCTTCACTCCGCCCCTTAGATATGGAGCCCCCATCAACATCATCCTGGCCTGGGGGGTAGGGCGGGGGCTTGCTAGGGGGTTCCGACTGTGCCCGCTGGAGATCACCCACAGACTTTACTGCAGCTACTGGTCCTGCTTCGGGACGGAACTTCTTCTTCAGGACAAGAACCTTCTCCCCCTGGATCAACACCAGTAGACACATGGTAGAGCTGGTCACACATGCTACATGTTTTTTTCTGTTTTGAGTTCCTCCTCCAAGCTTCAGAGGAAGGGGTCAGGAGGGCAAAAGATTCTTTTTAATTTTTTAAAAACATGCACTGGCCTTGTTAAATCGATAAGTTCTGTTCTGGTTCACAATTTGAAGTCATGATTCCATGAGTTCAAAACAGGTAATGAACTTTAACAAAATTCAAAAGCAAATGAGCTCATAAGGTCCTATCATTGTTATTGTGCTATACTCAAAGTGCAGTCTTGTTACATGGTGCTGGGAAGCTATTAAGATGGAAGAGATTGAGGGTTTAAATAACGAAAACATTAAAGGAAAAAGGACAATTATCTGTTGAGTTATTTCTCTTCTTCGTCAAATATCCTTTCAATAAAGTCCAGCACAAATGTCTTTATGGAACAGGAATTTCCAGGGAGGGATGATATTCCTACTGGGTGGATATAGATACGTGTGATTACATGTTTGTGCAGGACAGTAATACATAACACAGGACCAACAGAAGATGAGAAACCAGAGGTGGATCCAGCATTTTAAACAACAGCCTCCTGGCATGCAAATTAGGAACAAATCATTATTATTTCTAAAAATGGGACTTCCTAAAGTTCTTATTTTCCTAAATCCAGAGGGGTTTTTAACATTGTTTTTGGACATTGCATTTAATGCAATAATATAAAACCTAAGCATTAAATTAGTTACTGGTAAAATATATTAACATGAATTGGGCAAGTTTTAATCAAGTTAATGACATTTGCTACAAATTCGGGACTGAATATCAGCCTCTGGGCCGGTTTAGATAAATCCTTGGAACACAGCCTGCTGTTTCCAGCTGCTAGCCTTGATTCAGGACAACTAAACTTCTGTCTTGTCCTAATATCAATCAAGCTTATTATTACACAACTTAATGTTTGTTGTCAGAGGAATTCCTGTATATCAGATATTCCATGTACACATCATGAACATTATTATATTTGGTCAGAGAAGTAAATAAACATCTGGCAAATCCGCAGTAATCAGATAAACAATGATAAAACACATGGCAGTGTTCAGAATTAAGCGTGAAAGTTAAATGTGTTGAACGTTGGAGATTACAGATGTATAACACCTAACTTCAAACACTGCATAACACCATGAAAGCCATAGCAAAATAAAGAGTAAATATTTTCTCATGAAAAAGAAACTCAGGACATATCTTACATCTTCAACTTTTATTGTTGCCAGCTCATTGACATAGTCCTTAAACTTCTCCCTGTTGTGAGCTGAAAAAAACAAAACAAATAAACACTCATCACCATGTACATACAGTAAATATGATAAATAAATGACATCCTTTTCTTTGCATGAAATATCTAGCTAAAGTACTAGTTTATCTGTTTGCTAATTTATACATGAAATAGAAATATATCATAGGAGTCAACATTTTGCAAAACAAAGACGGACATTGAACAAAAATTGTCAGCATTGAGATGATTGATATTCAAATATGTTCTGCATAAATTCTCAGGACTAAAATGTAACCATGCTTACAAAGAATTGAACAATATATAATGACACATGATGTCATAAGGAGAAACATACATGTCCAGGTCCCGTCTGGCAGTTTACAGAGGCAAATATGTATTTTGAGAGTATTTAGGAGCATGATCAAACACCACAATACAGCAAAAAAGGAAACATGTCTGTTTTGACCCACCAGTAGCTAAATTAAATACCAAAATGCATTCATTTTGTACGAAAATGGCCGAGTAATCGCCATATATAGGTGGCCATATTGAAAATTGGATTCAAACCTCTTGAACACAATCAGGTATAAGGTGAGGTGAGGTGAAATGGGGTTTAACGTCGCGTCCAAGATTATTGCACTTATATAGCGATGTGCATGCACGTGTGTGTGTGGCTGCATGTACTAGACCGGATTTGCCGATTTATAGTGCTAGCCCACTGAGATACCATGCAGCAGTTTAATACTGACTCCGAGCTGACCAGTCCTTGATTTAGCCCCTTAATGCTGAGCTCCAGACAGGGTAACAACAAGTCCAATCCTTTAACGTCGTTTGGTATGATGCAACCGGGGATTGAACCCCGGACCTTCCGCTAGACCACGGAGGCAGTCAATCAGGAATGATCACTGATGGGAAGAAGTGTGTGAAGTTTTAACTTCGTTGCTTCAGTAGTATTCAAGGAGTAGATGTTTACCACAAATGACGGGACAAATAGACTGTGCTAATGAGTCATTCTAATTTCTCTACAATGCAGTTTACCAGGTGCAGCTTACATAGCGCTAACATTTGGCTCAACGTTCACAGACTTTGAGTGCCTCTTCGATCCTTTGGGTAAGTTGTGCTTCTAGGGTTAGGGTATTTTACCCGAAACTCTTTCCTTAGCCCTTTCCAATCAAGCATCCTTTTACAATCCTAAGGGTTTGCTACCACTTGCCAATCAACTACCCCCTTGTCCTTAGGGTTAGGCATTCCTTATAATCCTTAGCGTTTGTTGTGGGGTAGGCTAAGGGTTAGTGATCACTTTTAATGAAGAAATCCAAAGTAGTTAGAGGAAAATCAGTATCGTATCCTTAGAAATTTCATGGAGAAAATAATTGGGTGGTGATTACTTGCAGTGATAGAAACTAACGGTTTTAGTGCACTGACATACAAATTTCTACTTGTCCTAATGATACCGTACTATTGGGCAGTTTGGCAAGGACTATAGAATTTGTGGCAATTGGTAAACAACCACTTATCATTTGTGATAGTGCCTGTGGTACCATGGTAAAGTGTTGGCTGACTGGATTAACTCATTCGTATAAGCTTGCAACCTGAGTTCGTTCCTCAGTGTGGCACTAATTGAGATCCCAAGCCTAACTCTTAGGATCGTAAAGGAGAGCTTGATAGGAAAGGGCATCCTGGGGCTAAGGATGAGGTTTGGGAAAACCTACCCTAACACAGCGGGTGTTTGTAATTTTGAACCCAAAACGAATTCATACCCCCAAAAATGAGAAATTTCGCACCCTAATGCAATAATTACGCTATATGAAATAACCCTATGCAACAAGCAATAAATTATGTTATATGAAACATAAATCTAGACTTGAACTCAATAACAGAATGACCTGACCTGAATTGAAGAGTTGATCAACATAACTGTATAAATTGTTTGATCAATCTCATTAATCAGATCTTAGTTGTTGCGACCGCTTAACAATGATCTGAGGACATCCCATTACAGGTCACATCAGAACGACGTGTTATGGGTTTTCCAATTCTTAAACATTCTTAGTTATCTTGCTAATCACATATATAAAGATATACTTAGAAATACTAAATAGGGACAAATGTTTTAATTTTTAGGGGCACGAAATTACCGCAACCAAACACAGCTAACCCTATAAAAGATTGAAGAGGCACGCAATATCAGTGAATACGCTTTGTCCGGTATACTGCATTGTTGCCACACCGTGTACCAATAACAATGGGGTTATATGTTGATTGTGGTATTTTTTCGGGGAGTAGTGCACTTTACCGGGCGCACTTTTTCAGATCCAATTAGGGCTGTTGGGGCTCGAACGCGCTTTGCCGGCTCAACGGCTCTACTAATTAATGTGTTAATTAGCCGAATCTCTACCACTGGACCACAGGCGCTATCATATGTAATCAGTGCTCGTTTAACAGGTCATTAGAATCCCCATTGACATGCATGCGTAATTCAGTAAACAATGAATTGCGCATGCGTGTGACGTCACTGCCCGCTCTCCCATTCATCTTTTCTTGAAACCACACCCGCAATTGTTTATGTCAACATGACTGGCCAATGGGATTAACTGGATTAACGCTTGAAAAGGTAAGAATTTATGGCTAACCCTTGCCCAAAGCCAGCTGACCCTAATGACCGAAAAGGGGTTTAGGATCGTAAAGACGTGTAAGTTTCCCTAAGACCGAAAATGGGTGTTGGATCGTAAAGACGTGTAAGTTTCCCTAAGACCAAAAAACGGGTGTTGGATCGTAAAGTTGTGTAAGTTTCCCTTAGACCTAGAACGGGTGTTTGATCGTAAAGATGTGTAAGTTTCCCTAAGACCGAGAATGGGTGTTTGATTGTAAAGATGTGTAAGTTTCCCTAAGACCGAAAACGGGTGTTGGATCGTGAAGCGAGAGTCACCAGAGCGTGAGGCACAGTAACGGTATAACGAGACAGCGGTGGCACTATTGCGCGGTAATTGAGCGGATGGTAGAGCACGGGCTGCGCCCGGTAAACTGCATTGTTGCCTTTTTTCGGTTGATCTTCAAAAATACGTCGATCTGTCATTATTCCTCACCCGATAAACAACGTAAATATGTCAGTGAACTGAAACTAGTGAAAGATATTGGTAAGGCAAGCGATGTCAGCGCAGCGTGATATTTGACAGTTCTAAGCTCGATTAACAACGTGGACCCCAATGTTGCAAGTATGATGAACAATATTTGAAGGATCACGATCTTAAATTGTCAATTTCAGTTTGTGGACGGATGAAGTTTTCACTGCAGGTCAGGATCTATCATGCGCCGACATTTGTATTGGGTGTGTTTTAAAAAAGGAGTTACCTTTGTGCGATTGGTCGTTGAGAAATGTCTTAAAGTGTGTAACCAGCTGATGATTTTTCACTCTACCGCCATTATTAATCATAAAATCCTTCACGGAAGCCAAAGTAAATTCTCTGGCCGCCATTTCCCTTTTTTCTACCGGAAGTTTACAAACCCGGGGAGCAGTCTGTGAGTTTTCATATAAGGGACCGATCATTTATTCATTTGAACCCCCATGTTAATCGGAGCTTACATTTCAAGATATATTCACACCAAAATGTAAAGCTGAGTTTAGATATTTCACTTACAAAAGATGCATAGTTTTAATATATTTCAACAACTGAACATGTATCAGACAGGCTGATCATGTGCAGTGCGAGAGCTGCTAAAAAACGTATTTAGAGGGAGTGGAACACACTCTTTTTCTGTCAGGACACGAGCCAAAATATTGTCAATTTATTTCATTGACACCCATTTGCAATCTAGATAGTTTCCATTAAAAAAAACACACGTATTATCAGGTTTATAAAAGCCATAACCTCTTCGTGAACAAGTATATTTTACAATGTATTATATTCATATGCGTAATGTATATTTAACATAACGTCAGTCTTTGAATAGCAGTGGGGCTTAATTTGGACTAGATGTTCCATCAGCAGACGTGGCAAAAAGCAAAACACTTTTTGTTCCGAAAACGGCATCTGCTTTTAATATAGATCAGAAACGAAAACGGCAACGTATTTTCATAATCACTTTTTATCGTTTACATTTTTATATATAGATCTATATATATTATGGAGGCCTGATAGCGGGCAGAATGATAATAAAACATCAGAAATTAAGTTTTCATAAGTGTTTACACGTCACCACTGCGCATGAATTTTAATGTGATAATTATCCGGTCATTTATAGCCATTTTTGACAGTCGCCGTTCTCGGGTGTATCAATCTGACTCGAACACCCTATCTTCAACTGAGGACCGCGCAGCGTTCATAGCGTGATCTCACTTACCCATGTTAGAGGGAAGAATTCACAGATATGGTATCCACACAACGTCTCGTGCTGAAAAAACACACAACTCCTTCTCGGCGACAACCACGTCTAGACCCCATGGAGTGTAATCTGAATCAGGAAATAGATGCTTCAAGTCAATTATGTTCACCTCGTTTTTTTTGTATATACTTATTAGTCAGTTACACATATATGTATCCACATGTATCAGCAATAGTAAAAGTAGTAGTAGTAGTAGTAGTAATAGTAGTAGTAGTAGTAGTAGTTGTAGTTGTAGTTGTAGTAGTAGTAGTAGTAGTAGTAGTAGTAGTAGTAGTAGTTATTTTTGTTGTTGCTGAAGTAATTTCGCGAGGAGTTGACGAAATCCTAATAATCGGCTATTATTGGATATCCATATAAATCTGATGTTCTGATGTAATATATTAATATAATACCCCTAAAATAAGAAAAATAACCTTAAACAAGTCTTTCTATTTTCAAATGTACTGATAGAGTTGGGTGGGCGATAGTTTGTGGCTCAACATTAAAGAAATACTTTTACTAACCATAGTGACGTGCCAAGCTGGAAGTGTCCTTAACCCAGCGTGTTACTCTACACCAGGAAGGGTTCAACCACTCTCCACTCACATCCTGCTTCATCTGATTCATCCCCACAAGGCTAACCTCCCTGGAGCACCTCAAGCACGGCGTCACTATGCACTGGCGAACTTAACGCCACGAAATAAAACTGTGTTTAGATTTGAAGTCAAAACATTCACTCGACGAAAAAGATCCCGGGCACAGAGAACGTACTTGAGTTATCTAAATCTCCGAAATCCCCGTGAGTTGCTGCCCCAATTAAAATCCGATCTTAGTCTTCGAGTGAGTGAGGATGGTTTTACGCCGCTTTTAGCAATAGTCCAGCAATATCACGGCGGGGGACACCAGAAATGGGCTTCACACATTGTACCCATGTCGGGTATCGAACCCGGGTCTTCGACGTGACGAGCGAATGCTTTAACCACTAGGCTACCCGACCGCCCCTCTTTGTCTTCGATAGCGAGAACTAAGATCTGATTTTAATGTGATTGGTTGCTGCCCTAGCTGGTGCCTATTCACCGTCTACGTGGTCTGTATCTAGACGTTGTAGACGTGTGTCAAACTGAGAGTGGGAGGGCGTGTTGGTGAATCAGCTGATCGATTGATATACATCCGCAGGTTGACTTATCAGGCAAACAGTGGGTTTTGACCGACTTCAACCAACATGATCAAATTTGCTGTGATTGTCACATGGCCCGAGGCAAGTCTCCCTTAATGTTTTGTCTTTTGTTTTAGTTTGTTTAACGCCGCACTCATCAATATTCCACCTATACGACGGCGGTCTGTAAATAATCCAGTCTGGACCAGACGACCCGTGCAGTGATTGACGTCATGAGCATCGGTCGACGCAGTTGGGATCTGGTGACATGCATCTACCAAGTCAGCGAGCTGGGGACCAATATTCTTACCCGGCATCCCCACGGGCCCCTGAATGTAGGTCAAGATGAAGTACAGGGTGAAATATTTGGCATATGAATTAAGTTGTTATTTTTTCTTCTAAAAACATCGAAACATATGGTGGCGGATTAGGGCCATATCGCCCTGAGACACGTGTACGCGACAAAGCAATCGTACGACACAATATGGCGACAAAGCGACAAGGCAATATGGCGATATGGTCACGCGATATGGCGATACAGTGATATCTTCTTTTGTTATATCTGCGCAGTTGTGGTGATACCTTTAGTGAAACAATATACAGTATTTATTTACCGAATATGAACTGGTAAATCATTCCACATTTGCGCAGTATCAGGTAAACAAAGCGACAAAACCCTTTCCATATCCAATGGTCGATTCTCTGCATAAAGCAGAGTCGATTGTACGATTCCGACTATATCATGAACATGTGATTATGAATCACTATCAAATAGTAATGATATCAGGTATTCGCGAAAAGGTGAGCGTATCCTGCCCCACCGGTGGCACCCGTCACAAACACACGCAAAGGCATGTTAACTGTTCACCTGAAAAAAAACAACACGTGAACATATATGGTACAAGTCAAAACAGGGAATTGCATGGGACATCATTTTTGTCACTGATGCGCCAAATATGGAAATGTCCTCCACATGTCAACCATAAAACTTTTTGAAAGCTTTACTGAGGCCTTGGATTTTATGACTTTGATCAACAACTTCTAAAGAATGATCTGTAGTTGTTAACGAGCGTCCACTGAGACATTAGGAAGAACAAGATTACAGACATACTTGTTAACCATTTGGAAACTGTTTCTTATTCAGAGATTGCTTTCCTTTGGATAAGGATGTAAAGTAAATGGGATTTATATGACCATGAAGAATTGTGTAAAACCTGTTTTCTAATTCTGTATTGTATTCAGCAAAATTATGTACAACTTTAAATTTTTAAAAAATGCTTTAATTGTCAAAATTTGTGACAAAGGGCGATGTTAGGTGCACCTATACATGTCAGACATATATGTCATGTACTAAGGGCCAGATAGCCTGGAATTCTGAATAAACTGAATCTGTATCTGAATCTCGGGTTAGTTTCAGAGTACAGAGACTGGATGGTGACTGGTACCACGAGCAGATCTACATATTGCTCTCAGTGAGTCTAAAAGTAGCTTTTCCAATACCCATACTTGTCCTTGAGAACAATTACCCCATACCTGTCTCGATAGTCAATATTGGTAACATAAACGATGTGTATATTCTCTAACGTTCACTTCTTGACAGGCGGTATTTGAAAGTTCTGAAGCAGTTAATCATGGGACTCACTTTATGTACAATATTATCTATATGATTTGACCAGTAGTCTCTTGCTGTGAAATTAGACCTAGGTGTTTGTGCGATGAGACCTCTGCTATTGGAGTACTTTCATTTCAAGAACTTTTACTTGTGTCAATTCTTCTTGACATTATGGTTCTAGGTTTGTCTGGGATAAAGGTTACTACTTGCCATGTATGCGCCTGTATGGAAATTCTTTCTAGGTCAGAATTTAATTTATTTGCTGCTGTTTTTGTATCATCGACAATTATATGAAGTTACGTATCGTCTGCAAAGAGACTTATGTTACAGTCTATCTGTCTTTTCGTTTGTTTGTTTTGTTCTGTCGAACAAGAACAATGATGTATTTACATTGAGTTTATAACGCTTAATAAACCGCAAAACACAATGGCTTTCTTAGCTTGTTGACGGATGTTCCCCAAACTCAGAGCAGGTGTAAAGGGATACCGAGATATTTGTATTCAGATATTACATATTCTGAAACACGTCCGTCATAGTTACATTTTACAGTTGTTTTAAGCTGTCCGTCTCCTCTGAATACCACGATCATTGTCTTTTATCTGTTCATTTTTATGCCACAATTATTTCAAAACGTACTTAAACATCGATTTGTTTGCTGTAATCTATACACGCCATCTGCAGCATTTACCAAGTCATCAGCAAAAAACTAGGTGGTAAAGTTTTCTAGAAGAATTACCAACATATATATACCTCTGCAGTCAGACTGTTTGATCATTTCCAAAAACGTCATTTCAAAAGAAAATAAATAATGTAGGACTTACCGTACAACCCTGTCTTGTTCTAACACTGCAGTCAAAGAAATCACTTAAACCATAACGTGTATTTACAAGAACGTAGGTGCGAATACATTGCCTTCCAGACATGATATACTTTACCTGATATACCATTTTTTAATAATACATACAAACAATAAGTGCTGTCCTGAGTCCACAGCTTTGGAAAAATCAATAACAATTACATACTTATAGCCTTTCTTCTTAGATGAATACTTTTGAATAACAGATTTAAAAAATATAGATACTATGGCTGGTTCTATAACCCTTTCTAAAGCCAGCTTGCTCCTCACATAATTTACCTCAACTATGCACAAGCTATCATTCTTTCCTCTTATATTTTTTAAGAAGTTTGCCAATTACATTTAAAAGGAAAATTCACTTCAATGTCACTGTCTATATCATCAACCTGGTCATAATAATGGAAAATAATAATGGTCCTAGGACCGATCCTCATGCAATACCTGTCATGACAGATTTTAACTGTTCTGGAATCCCTTCAACAGATAACTATCAAACTATCAATGTCAACAATTTACTTCGAATTCCGTCGCACACAGCAATATTCCAGCTATATGACCGCGGTCTGCAAATAATCGAGTCTGGACCCAGACTCGATTATTTGCAGACCGCCGTCATATAGCTGGAATATTGCTGAGTGCGGCGTTAAACAACAAACCAACCAACCAACCAACTTCGAATTCCACATGAAGATAATTTATAAAGTAATCCAAGCCCTGCTTTTGTCACCAAACACTGCCCTTACTTCTTTTCCTATTTAAAATACGCGACGTTAAACCCAATTTCACCTCACCTCCTATTTAAAATAAAATAATACCAAACTCACAGCTTGTGGAATCGCCTGATATAAAGCCTGACCGGAAAGTGCTAATAAAACTGTTGTCTTTGAAGAAGTTAAACACCTGTTTAATGGATACATTTTTTAAATACGTTTGACAAATAACTATTTAGTGCGGCTGGTGATGGTTAAGTTATTCATATTAATTTGTGTCAACTTATCGTGGAGTCCGTCAGGATTCCTTATGTGCCTAAATCTACTGTTACTACCACAATGATTACAACAACAACAACAACTACTACTATTACTTTAACTACTACAACAACGACACCATCTACCAGTTAATGTCTAGCACTACAGCTACTACAAGTACTGTACCCACTGGTCACGTCAGTATGGTGTTCCACAACATCACGCACGACACGGTAAAGGACATACAGTATTCGTTATATTCAGAAGGTTTCTGGTCATATTCAAATATAACTAAAGGAAAAAGCGTGCTGACTTTTCGATCTCATACAAATATCAGCACACACAAATCTGTTGTGATGTGAGATATACAACTATGGTGTTTGAATTGTTTGGTGTGGTCACATCACATCATGTATACAGTGAATGTCCGAAACAAATAATCAACAGATTGAAAAGTAATATTAAAAGCTTTAAGTATATCCGCAATAATGAATCTTTTGAAAAGTACTGGTATGCGTTTAGTTGTAAACGAGCTACATTTCAAAGGGTGAGCTTCGATATGTCACCACAATAATGTTAGTGTCATCGCCGGGCGTGGGACATGATTGACTGAAAACCAAATCATCTCGGAATATCACGGACTTTCTAAAGGTAGCGTTATGATTCAAATACGATTATATCTGACTGTCTTTTCACTTACACTTCAAATGGTTCGGCCTTTGTGAATAGACCATCACGTATATTGTATGCCTCTAGTCCATTAACAGTATGAACGCACATCGAAATACCCGAACACTGCGCGTATACAGAAACACATGTATATTGACATTCAAATTCTCTCACACTCTCTCACATGGTGGATTAGCTGAATATTCATACCTTACCAGGTCGAGTGTGTATTTGTATATGGATACTGTTATGAAAAATAATGTGATGTCCATCAATGTATATCTTAAAGTAAAAATCATAATAATGTAATATTGTCAAAACTGTAAGATTTTTTAATATGCCTACTAAATTTGTTTTGGATTGCATTCAGAACAAACGTAGTCCAAGGCACAGTGAAAGCTTAAAGCTATTCTGGGGAATTCCTATGGCCTACAGAGTTCTCATGATCCTGGGGGGCACGGGGGGCCCAGTCGACTAAGGCGCCGCAATTCGCTATGCAGAGTTGCGTCCCTTGGGCACGCCAGAAACCTATGATTGTGGGTTCGAATCCCGGTTCGCCCCGATTATGTTTCTAGGTTTGCAAGCACCATACCCGTGCTCGTGGGTTTCACCGAAGTGGTAAACGCCTAAGACCTGCATCACTTCGGGCTTTCCTCCCACATTAAGCTGACACGCCGAGATATGACTGGAATACTGTTAAAAGCGGCGTTAACCCAACTCACTCACTCTCATGATCCTGACAGTCATTTCTGTATAATGTTTTCACACTGGGCACGTGTCCAGTGTTGTCTTGTGTCACTGATGTCGCCACTCATAGGTTTTGGGATGTCCAATAAATGTGTTACTTCACACATCCAAACGTCTTATATGGATTTGACATAAACTGAATTGTTAACTGATTTATGATTTTACATCACGAATATGAAATGATTCTAGGACACAACGGCTAAGTATTTTAACCTAATGGTTTGGTTGTTTGTTTGTTGTTTAACGCCGCACTCAGCAATATTCCCGCCATATGACAGCGGTCTGTAAATAATCGAGTCTGGACACCCGATCCAGGAAATATTACCTACTACTAGCACAGAGTTGTTAGCAACTATGACCTGCTACTAGTAGGTACAAAGACGGTCTCTACGTCTCTGGAGACTAACATTTACTGCTACTACTACCTAACAGTAACAATTAAATAGCATAACCATATTAGGATGTATGTTCACAGGGGCGCATTTCACGCCATATTGGAACATGCAGTGTCCAACACAGCATTCAGCAGATGGTAGGATGTCTGTCATCATTTTGTTGTTGTTTTTTATCTCCGGTCTAGACAGGCTAGACTTAGATTTAGTATCTTAATACGGTATATGTATTTTATACATCACCTAATTACAATTTTAACAACCAATTAATAGATAGATCTATAGATATATATTAATCCGGTCTTATAGAAGATCGTTACGGCTTTCATTAATACATGCCATTGTATGTGTATTTGTTTGATAGAACTACACATATTTATAAGAACTGATCGTTACAAAATATATTGGCAAAATTTGTCTTCGGAAAAATCGTCCCGACGTGGTCAGAAAGAGTTATCCCCCTTGGCCGGCATAGCGATCGGTTTTCGATCAAACATTTATCGGTTAGATCTTGCTTTTTGTTTATCTGTTCTTACTTGTTCGTTGGTCATAATGTTATCTAGTCTTTGTGCAAACATAATTTACAGTCTACAACCATTCACTATGGTACTTTTTATTTTCAGATACTGAGATGGAGAACGTCAACGTGCCTGCTGACCCTGCACATGACGCATGTTTGTATTCTATGTCTGTAGGCCTAGAATGAGTGTAGGACTAACATAGATATATTATCGGGGAAGCATCAAATCTCATCTAGATTATTAGTGTTAATTAACTTGTTTTGCTGAAAGGTCTGTGTTCTGGGTTCAAAGTGAGGTCCATTTCTGGCGTTCGCTCCAGATAAGGCCCACGCTCTAATTCACTAGTCTACATGCCCTCTTTTTTGTTTGTTGTTGTTATGATGAACACTGAGGGAATATGTAGACATATGAGATTAATAAAGGATCATAAAGATTATTGTGCATCCGGCAAATTTATAGTAAACTATACATGTATCATTGATTACCTCCCTTTGCAACCAATATGTCAAGATATCAGTACCAATTTACACATTTTTTTATTCCCAGGGTATCCAAGTGGGCTGTGTCCTGCCACATTCAGGAAATTTGAGGTGCAACCCTTGTAGGAAATCAGGTATGTTGTATTCTACCCCTATACATGTTGGGAATTACATTAATTTATTTTATCATACTAAGGCTAATTTACTGTTGTATAGATTTAGCACAAGCTAAGCACAGGTGCTGTGAACATTTATCTTTATGCACCCCCATGATAAAGTCAGGGATAACAATAGAGGAATCATCATACATCAAATTAAATCATGGATGTCATGATATGAAATACCACATTTGTAGTATTATCGGTACCTCATTATATCAGTCTTTCCTCACTGGATCATCAGCTGACACACTGTGATATTACTGAAACACTGTTCTCAGTTGCATTAAGCCAACTCAACCATTCACTATGCAAACTTACTGACCTGATTATGGCAATTGTGAAAGTATTACTTTCCCTCAGACCTTGGGCCATTTATTAAGTTATGAGGTGTGAGTTGGTATACTGTAATCAAACTACAGGCTATCATGAATACAGGAATATCCAATTTGAAGTCAAATGAGCTTATGTCATGGTGCATTATCTGTCATCTGTCCATAACTAACTTGTACACTTTCAAAACCTCCTCTGAATCTACAAGGCCTATGAAACTGAAATCTCAGCAATGATATTCTAAAACATGAGGCCATTTACAAAATATCACTTTTGCATATTACACAGCCATTTCAGATGTGGCATTATGAAACTTGATATGTGTTATGGGGTTTACATTGGTATATTTTTGGCTTGATCTAGGAGGAACATGTTAGATATTTACCACTTGATGAGACCCACCAGCGTGGAAATGGTGCTGACAAGCCAAGGAAAATAATCATGGTAATTATGGGATTTGAACCCATTGTCATAGATTTCTGGCATATGAAAGGGATGCAGCTTAGTCTCTGAAAATGTAAAATATTGATAGAAACATTTTATATTCATTTTAGTTTAAAAGTAGACCCAGTGAGATGGGCTGGGCGGAAGGGAAAATAATATGGTTCAAGGACTGTGAGACAGACAGGGATGCAACTCTGCCCAGCAAATTGAGGTGGCTTCTTGGATGCCTGTATCCCCTGTGCCTTCTATGGCCTTAAACTTTCACATACCTTATGAAGTTTGTTTGTGTTTTCAATATCTTCTCTGAAAATCATATTTTCAATAAGCTGAGATTTTGTGTATTTGATCCCACTAACATGATGCCAATACAACTTCAAGCTGTCAAGACATGGCAACCATATTGAACATATACTTTTCACCCTTTAGAAAGCCACTTCTGCATTTACATTATGAAATTTGATATACAGTAATTATTTGGTAAACCCAACAACAGGGTCATATTTTGCAAGTTTTTCTTATATTTGGAACTGCAACATTTTGTCTTCATGGGCTGCTGCAGCAGTCATGATGAATGTGTTCTTTGACTTGTCTCATTACCAATTATTATCCCCCACAACATGTTTTGTGGGGGTATTAAAATTGACATGGTTAGTCCTTGCATTCATACTTCTGTGTAAGATTTTGAAAAAACGTTTACTATTTTCTTCACCAATCATGGTACATGGATAGGCCTAGTGGTGACCTGGTGCCTGTTGATAGTTTTGGATTTTTGTAAAATGTATCTTTTTATTTTCCATGGCAACAACTTTGACTGAAATAGGAGGGTAGTGATCGTTCTTGGAACATACCTTAAAAATCTACAATATTTCTTCACCAAACTTGACACACAGATCGGTCTAGTGGTGAACTGGTGCCTTTTGATAGTTTAGGATTTTTTAAAAATTAATATTTTGAGATGCCACATCTTTGACTCATACTGAAAATGAGGGTAGTGCTCCTTTCTATGCAGATTAATTTTTTTTACAATATTTCCTTAACAAGCATGGCACATAGATAGGTCTAGTGTTGAACTGGTGCCTTTTGGTAGTTTAGGATTTTTAAAAAATTGATATTTTGAGATGCCACAACTTTGACTCATACTGAAAATGAGGGTAGTGCTCCTTTCTGGGCAGATTAGAAAAAACTTACAATATTTCCTTAACAAGCATGGCACATAGATAGGTCTAGTGTTGAACTGGTGCCTTTTGATAATTTGGGATATTTAGTTTCCATAGCAAGTATTTAATATTTAGGGGATAATGGTGAATTTGTCTTCTTGCATATACTGTCATCCTTTTAATTGGTCAAGATGCTGTGAGAAAGTCTGTTCTGTAGATAAATAGTTTTGTTTCTTTTGCTTATTTATTATACCCTTGTATTGCCTTTTTGTTGTAATAATAAGCTACAGAGCCATTTTAACACCTATACCCAGGGTAGTTTGTTCGAACAGTATTTCTGTCAGTCATGTGAGGGGACAGCCAAAAGGTAATGAAGGGAAACATTATTACATCAGAGCTACAGATAAGCAGCGTATTTGTGTAAAATACCCCCCCAAAATTATTTAAAACCCAATTACTTTCCATTAACTTGTGTACAGAAACGCATGCATTATATGAAAAACTCAAATTATTAAAACAGCTCGCGTAAATGCCCAATGAAGCTTTTTCAGCATGCATACAAAGGAGCTAATTTCTGAAACACAATTACAAGTTAATTTACTTTCTGAGTCAAACCTATGTATTTAGAACATTATTTCATTTTTTTGAAATCTTAAAATGTTCACTAATTTTGGGAAAGACCCAAGAGAGTGATGAATAGATGAGTGAAAAAATATTGGTAACCCAATGAAAAGTGTAATAACCCAATTAAAATAGAAACCCTAAAGTAAAAACTGAATTGCTCAAAAAGTTATCTGGAGCTCTGTTACATGAGTCAGTTTAATGGCACCAATACAATGGGCACATCTGGCCTCAATTAGGTTAAATCTGGTAAACTGTGTCTGTGATTTTTTGGGGTGACGACATTGCAGCCATATTGAATGTTATTTTGACCAGGTACTCATGTATCATGGTGTTATTCATTTAACAGGCTCTGATACTATATTTCAATCTCCAATGTGCTATGTTTCAGTGATCATATGTTCCATTTGGTCATGTCATCATCTTTCACCTTTTTGTGTCCTAATAATGGAATGTACCAGTAAGTGTAATAACCTTGTACCTGCAATATTTCCTATGAATCTTTTTGGAAGTGAATCTATGATTGGTTATATATGTGTGTTATCATGCACTCCAACAATGGTATAAAATAGATCTACTGTTCTTTTCAGATTTCAGGTTCAGATTATCATGCCATGGTCATACCCTTTGCATGCACCCTTGTATCTAGATTACAGGTATACTAACACTGTTTGGATTGTTAAGGACATGATCCAAGTAATTCAGTCTCACAAACGTAGTCACAGAATTTGATTCTTAACATTCCCAAAGGGCAACTATATGGAATGTCAGTTATGTGTGACCTGGCTGATTTGGTGACATTACACCCCAATTACATGGATAGTTGTTAGTGCTATCAACCTCTTGCCTGCCTGGACCAAGCACCATTAATTTAAGTGGTCATAAACAATTCACTTGTTTTTCCTCATTTGTCAATCATTATTAAATATTCATATCATTTGGTGTATCTGAACATTTGTTACTTATTTCTGCATAATCTTGTTAATCTATTTATGATGACCTTTACCAGTATTAAATTCCCTAAAAATAAATTCTTATCAGTTTCAGGCCCATTCAAACGGTTCGTAGTGAGGCATATTTTTGTTTATCCTAGATAACCTTAGCAATGTTGTCGTGAAGAGGTTGATGGATGTTTATTACACTTTTTTAACCTTCATTTGCAAAGGTATTTTTGTAGCTTCCAATTGTGATTTGTTCAACTTTAAGAACTTTCTTCTCAGAAACCAAGGAAACTAAAACTTAATGACACCTGGCATGTGTAGCACCACAATGGGACTCGGATTAAGTTATGTGGTTGTCCCAGTGTTTTATTTTACAATTTGTTCATTCAGTTCTGTGGTGTCATGTGTTGTGTTTATTCTTATGAAGATTTTCATTCTTCGTATACCATGTTCACAGGTTTCCCTGTCCAGTTACAAGAAGCCTGGTGTAAATAGCTTGTTTGGTCCAGTTGCACCCAACAAAGGTAACATTGATCGCCTCGAAACGTAGGATTCATGTCTGCATGTCGTTAAACAAACTGGTTGTAATCATGGTAATATAGCATAGACTATTTTTCCAGATAAGACAAATATACAAAATAAAACAAAATACTTTTTGAATACAAACAACATGGCCTGCTTGTCTGGTGTTTGTCATCCTGACACAACTATTAGCTCACCAAGGTGAGCTTATGGCATACCGTGGGGTCCGTCGTCCGTATGACAACAATTTTTCCCAAAAATTTTAGGGGGGGACCACAAATTGACAATTAACGAAATTTGACTGGAAGCATCCCTAGGTGGTGAGGATTCAAAATTGTACAAATGGTGGGGCTGACCCCCCAAAGGGCTGGGTGGCGGGGCCAAATGGGGGTAATTTGGCTATATTGCTTTAAACAACTTCTTTATTGGAACTAAGAGATAGATATCAACCATATTTGGTTGGAAGCATTCTCCAATGCTGGGGATTAAAAATTGTACAAATGGAGAGGGCTGACCCCCCAAGGGTCATGGCCAAATAGGAGTAATTTGGCTATATTGCTTTAAACGACTTCCTCTCTGGAACTAAGAGATAGATATCAACCATATTTGGTTGGAATCAATTCTCCAATGGTGGGGATTCAAATTGGAGAAATGGAGGGGCTGAAATTGCTTCTTGAAAAACAATTAAGAATGAAAATAAAAGAAGAGAAACTACACTCTCCAGGAAACTGAAACTTAACTTTGTAGAAATGATGATGATCATTTGTAGCTTACACAAAGCGAAGGTTCAAATAAGCTTATGTCATGGCTGTGTTCATCTATACTAATGGAAAAAAAGGCAAGAACATTATCTCAAATGATGTCCTCATAACAATGATGAGTTGTGTTTTCCCATGAGTTGTGATGCCACCCCATACCATTACACTTCCACCCCAAAACTGATTATGATAAGTAATGCAAGAGTTGCTAAAACATGTATGCATGTATGACATGTAGACCTTTGCACGACCATCAGAGCTGTTCAGATGAAACCCTCACTCATTTGTGAACAGTGTACTGTCCCTTTTTTTCTTCTGAACCTCAGATGCTGTCTACACCAAGTGTGACTGATAGTCCTGTGTAAGCAAAATTAGGCATATTGCTGAATGTTGGGACCGGATGTTGTGCTCTCACAACCGGTAATGTACAGTTCTGCCACTAATTCGTCTTAACCCAAGAATTGTCCGATTATTAATGTGGCAGATGATATTTGTGATTCGATGAACATTATAAATGTTTGGCAACTTCGTTTTGCGCATTTTGTATTTGCAAGCCGTGACAGCATTATTAATTACGGTTGAACAAAAAGAAAAAAGATTTTATTAGACCCAGAGAGCTAAACAATCATTGTGTGCTGTTTACATTATGAAAACGTGTGTAAATACCTTGCTCCCAACAAACATGCAAACACACAAATTATGCGCAGTCCATAAACATTTACATGCGAATTGTGAATCACGACCTTAAAACTGAGATGTCTTCATCAATATGCATATTGAAAGATGCATTATTTAATTTCAGATTAAACTTAGTTTTGTTCAATCTCATTAAAATCTGATCTTAGTTTTCGCTACCGCTAACCAAAGATCTGAGGACAGCTATCTCGAGCTTTACTGCACTAGTTTCAAACTGGCAACTACGCCTCGAAACATATTTTGACGTATTCTCGATTAAATAAATTTAAAACTGACCAAAACAACATTCTGGAATGACTTATAGATGGCCTAAATTGTATGGATATAATCATAAAACCTGTAACTGTCGTTCGGAATACCCTCTGTTAAATATTTCGAGGATGCATGATTAGAAAACACATTTTGACTGTCACTTTCAGGATCTGGTAAGTGATGCTCTGATTGGTTGGATGAAAGGTCATGCTGACGTGATCCATAATGGGATGTCCTCAGATCATTTTTTAGTGGTAGCGAGAACTAAGATGTGATTTTAATGAGATTGAGTTATGTTGGACTTTTTATTAAGAAAAGTTACCTTTTTCTGCTAGTATGTATGTCGTTAACGATTTCACTTTCAACATCTCCTCTAGAGCTACAAAGCCTATGAAGCTGAAACTTGGCATGAATCATCCCAGCAATGATGTCAGAATTGTGATTTGATGTTAAGCATGTCGCTATGTAACAGCAGCGTATAAAATTCCCGGAAGGGCAACTTTGCAAATATTCCTGTCCAGATAAAATGCTTCCCGTCCAGAATTTTCTACACTAATGAACAAAAGTAACAAAATGGTGAACATAAGAAAAGTACTGTTGATTGTTAGTTCTCAGAAAATAACAATAAACTGATGGATTGTCAACTTAGTTACTTTAACTCATTGAAATTCATCAAATTCCAAGTCTGATTGACTGCCTCTATGGTGTACTGGTAGAGTGTCTGCTCGGAGAGTGGAAGGTCAGAAATTCGATCCCTTGAAGCATCATTCCAAAAGACGTTAAAAGATGGTACTTGTTGTTACCCTGTCTTGCTCTCGGTAGTAAGGGCTAAAAGAAGGAATGGTCCACTCGGAGTCAGTATACTGTGTATAAAATTTGTTTTGCAGGTTTTTGTTGAAGTATATATTTTTTCGAAAATTCATGTCTAACTGTATCAGTCATCTCCCTCACAAAATGTTAGAAATTTGGTTGTATTTTAAGAACCTTACACTTCCATACTTTGAAAATAACAAAATCAGTTATAATTATCATCTGTTATCACATTTTCCTTCACACGAATATCCAGATACAAATTATGAGTCTGTGTCCAGAAGCCAGAAATCTTTTACCAAAAAATAAATGCATATCAGTTTCTGGATGTGAATTACAAAAAGTACACAAATTATCATCAGATATTTTCATTTTTGTTCAAGAAAATATTTGTGGTAATAACACCATCTTAATTTTGTATCCTGGACACATTTAACGGGCTTGAGAAAAATTCCTTGCCAGTTGAGATAACTGCAAATTATAACTTCCCATTAAGTTTTGAATTTAAGTGAGACAACATGATATTAAACTATAATATCTTTACAGGCATTTTTAATGGAACATAACTTGATGTTGCCATGAACCTAAAATAAATGTATGCTATACCCACAAACGGTCAACTGTTTCCTGATTGGCTGATAATAGAATGGGAGGGGCTTGTTTTTCATTATATTGGGTTTAACAATGTCACTGATTTTCTATTGTTGTCTTCCTGTTTGTTTATGTAAGTAATTAAAGAAGGAGTCTATGAAGTTGTTAAAATTGACATATTTATTTAAAAGAATTGACTCCAATATAATTTTAAATTAATGTGGGTATAAATGTAAAAATAAGGTGTACTACGTGGATTTATTTATATTGAAGTTAAATCATAAGTTATTTTTCCATGAAAAATGTTCAATCAATGGTGATGACATCACTTATGTGAATATTTTCAACCTTTTCAGGGCAACTACCATGCTGTAATGAAACTTGATGGTATCAGTTTACACCAACGCTAAACTACATATACAGCTCCCAATACAGTGTGCTTTGAGAAGGGAGAGCAACTATGCCCTGTACGTTTCTGGAAAGAAGAAGTGTTGAGAAGAAGAGTTCTGTGTTGAAGTCAGCATTGACATCCTGAGTAGTGAAAAGATCAGCAGGGAGTAGCATCAGTTCGCTACTGTGTGGTGGGACAGTGTTTCTCCCTATACTCATGGACAGTACTGTACATCTAAACATATGATTCATATTATATATTGTTTCATAATGTGAGGTGTGTTTTTTTCATTCAAAATATCAATTATCATATATGGTGAATTTAGCATCTTACAAATATACTGTGCATGGAATTTCTTCACTGACACTGTTTTCAGCATTTTGAGGCAAAACTCTTTTCATGTGTTACATTTATGTTTATTGTTTCCTCAACAATAAAGAACTAGCAAAATGATGAATTTTGTTTGTAGTTGATTGATTATGACAAGGATAAACAGTATTATGTAGGCATGAATGTGTTCATGTATTCATCACCGAACGACATGATGTCAAATGGCTGATTGTGTTAATGTGCCCAATTGCATGGGTTTTGCTGATCTTGTCAGCCACTGATTTGCCTTGTCCACAATACATTTACCAGCCACCATGCTATAGCTTACATTACAATCCTGGCAATCCATGCTACGGGTTATGATTTTACATCCAAACAGATGGTAAGTTAGACAGTACCAAAATAATGATGTCACCATATTATCTCAACAGAAACATGAATCGCGAGGTGCTTTGGTAATGGTTACTACCCAATATTTGTCCGACAGTGACATAAAGCTGCGTTATTCTTGAATCGGACGCTAATGTCGCTAAATATCAACAGAAACATGAATCACATGGTTCTAGGGTTAGGGTTTCTGCCCAATATATGTCCAACGGTGATGTGAAACTGGGTTATTCCTGATACAGACGCTGATGTTATCGTATTTCATGAATCATGAGGTGCTAGGGTTAGAGTTTCCACCCAATATGTGTCCAACAGTGATGTAAAACTGGATTATTCTTGAATCAGACGCAGATATCACGAAATCTCTACATAAACATGAATCATGAGGTTCTAGGGTTAGGGTTTCTACTCAATTTATGTCCAACATAGATGTAAAACTGGGTTATTCCTGATACAGACGCTGCTGTTCTCGTATCTCAACAGAAACATGAATGATAAGGGGCTAGGGTTAGGGTTTCTACCTAATATATGTCTAATTGTGATGTAAAACTGGATTATTCCTGATACAGACGCTGATGTTCTCGTATCTCAACAGAAACATGAATGATAAGGTGCTAGGGTTAGGGTTTCTACTCAATATATGTCCGACAGTGATGTAAAACTGGATTATTCCTGATACAGACGCTGATGTTCTCGTATCTCAACAGAAGCATGAATGATCAGGTGCTAGGGTTAGGGTTTCTACTCAATATATGTCCGACAGTGATGTAAAACTGGATTATTCCTGATACAGACGCTGATGTTCTCGTATCTCAACAGAAACATGAATGATCAGGTGCTAGGGTTAGGGTTTCTACTCAATATATGTCCGACAGTGATGTAAAACTGGATTATTCCTGATACAGACGCTGATATTCTCGTATCTCAACAGAAACATGAATGATAAGGTGCTAGGGTTAGGGTTTCTACTCAATATATGTCCGACAGTGATGTAAAACTGGATTATTCCTGATATAGACGCTGATATTCTCGTATCTCAACAGAAACATGAATGATAAGGTGCTAGGGTTAGGGTTTCTACTCAATATATGTCCGACAGTGATGTAAAACTGGATTATTCCTGATACAGGCGCTGATGTTCTCGTATCTCTACAGAAACATGAATGATAAGGTGCTAGGGTTAGGGTTTCTGCTCAATATATGTCTAATTGTGATGTAAAACTGGATTATTCCTGATACAGACGCTGATGTTCTCGTATCCCAACAGAAACATGAATGATAAGGTGCTAGGGTTAGGGTTTCTACTCAATATATGTCCGACAGTGATGTAAAACTGGATTATTCCTGATACAAACGCTGATGTTCTCGTATCTCAACAGAAACATGAATCATGAGGTGCTAGGGTTAGGGTTTCTACTCAATATATGTCCGACAGTGATGTAAAACTGGATTATTCCTGATACAGACGCTGATGTTCTCGTATCTCTACAGAAACATGAATCATGAGGTGCTAGGGTTAGGGTTTCTACCCAATATTTGTCTAATTGTGATGTAAAACTTTTTTATTCCTGATACAGACGCTGATGTTATCGTATCTCAACAGAAACGTGAATCGTGAGGTGCTAGGGTTTGGGCTTCTTCCCAATGTATGTCCGACAATGATGTAAAACTGGGTTATTCTTGAATCAGACGCAGCTGTTACGGAATCTCAAAAGAACAAGAATCGTAAGGTTCTAGGGTTAGTGTTCCTACCCAATATATGTCTAATTGTGATATAAAAGTGGGCCGAAAAGTGACAAGAAACTGCTTTATTAGTCACACAGACCCTACTTATTAATTTCTGCCTTTATGGTACTGCAATTTTGATGAAGTAGAGTGAGAGAAACTTGGGTGCACAGTTGTCATAATTGTCATGGTTGATGGAACTTGATGTACTGGTCATGGGTTCAAATCCAGAATATGAACCTTCGTTTCAGCACCACAATACCTCATGTGGTTGCATAAATTTGTGTCTCACTTTCAAATCACACTGCCACATGTCCATCTGTTCAGCTTAAGGTCACTATTCTCCAAACCAGTGATCAGAATGGATCCTCACATAACCAATCGACACAACTCTGCAGTGTTGAAGCATTTAAGACCATTAGGCCAACTTTTCTCTCAAACAGCATAAAACAACCACACTATGGTGACGACAATCTCTTTAAAATCAGACCTTAGTTCTTGCTACTGCTAAACAAAGATCTGAGGACATCCCAGTACGGGTCACGTCAGACCGACCTTGTGCGAACATTTACCGACCAATAGAATGACCAATCAGAAGGCAGCTTTCTCGTGCTTTACGGCACTAATTTCAAATTGGCGACTACGCTTTGAAACATATTTGGACAAATTCTCGATTACAAATTTGAAAACTAAACAAAAGAACATTCTGGAATGTCTAATAGATGGTCTAGATTGTATGGATTCAGTCGTTAAACCTGTAACTATCTTTCGGAATACCCCGTGTTAAAGGTTTTCGAGGTTGTATAATTAGAAATCACATTCTGACTGTCACTTTCATGATCTGGTAAGCGACGCTCTGATCGGTCGAATGAAAGGTCGTTCTGACGTGACTCCTAATGGGATGTCTTCAGGTCTTTGTTTAGTGGTAGCGAGAACTAAGGTCTGATTTTAATGAGATTGTGGTGACGGAAACACAACTAGTATCACATGTATTCCAATACTTTATTCTATTACAGAAATCCATTTTTTTATACTATATATACATCAGTAGTGTAAACAAAAAACTTCTGAATACCATATTTGTGCAACTTATACTTAAAGATGGTGTCAGTTATCTTCAACTTGCTGAATATGAACTTTAACATTTGGTCATGACAATATTAGTGTTGGAATCAAGAGTGCAGCGTCCAGTTCATGACATCACTTTAAAGCAGATATCTGAAACCACAAAAAACTGAATCAAAAATCTTATCTGGAGCTCTGTTAAAATACTGTAAAATTTGCATTTTATCTCAAAACTCAAATAAAATATTTCAAATATTTCAAATGCACACATTTCTCAGCCCATTTATACACTTTATTAACAACAATTAGTGAAAGCACACTTTCAAGATTTATTTTCTGGCATATTTCTCAGCAATGGTGCCCCAAAACTGCTACCCTTTTGATAATTCCAACCCAATAAGTACATAGAAGGTTGCATGATCAAAAACATAAGAACAAATAGTTGAAGGCAAGTGTTTTAAGAAGCACATAGTGTTTCAAATTAAAAATATGACTAAACTTAATCAAATAGATTGCAAACATATGTCCTAAGTCTAGATGTATACAATGAACACTTCTCAAGAACATCTGTACATCCTTACAACAGGACTAACGTGCATAATTTCAGAGCAGATTTGTTGATATGCTATTTCTGATGACCTAAAAATGCGTTTGTGGGGGAAGTATTTAAATGTATGGGACCCATGTATTTTACCTGAAGTTTAACCCAATCTGTGGTATTTCATGAAGGGTGTTTTAGCAAGGGATGACTGTATTTATGTTTATGTTGCAACATTGCAAAAAGAACCAACATCAGATATTTCAAATCCTTATCTTGAACAAATATACAGTTTGGAATCCCAATAAAATTCACATTTCTTGAACTGATTTGCCGCTCTGATAAAGGGTACTTATATATTTTATTATGTGGCTGTTTTCTCAATATCATTTTCATTTTAACACTTAGATCAATTCATAACATTTAATACACCCCTGTGTCACCATTTACAGTGTTGATATTTTCCATTCATCACTCAAATTTACCAGTACATGCATAAAACCAAAAGGACTAAACGAAAATGCAGTAAATGTAGATAAGGGGGCACATGTGAAGTATGTGCAGTTAAAGTAACAGCAGTTAAAAAAATAATACTATGCCCCAAATTACAATGTAATATAATTTAGCATCGACGACAAATTCAATATGGTGGACATGGTGGACATATTTAGAATCTAGATATTATCACTGTCATCTTGTTACAATAACAAGCAACTAACCAAGTCACCGAACCTGACCACCCAATCACTTAACTCGTCCCTTATAACAAGGATATGTTGCAGTGGACGTATTCTAACACAGAATCACCACGATGGACGGATTTTTGTGATTCTTGGATTTCTTGGATTGTCATTAAAGTAAAAGTTTTAAACAACTGAAGGTTGATGCAAGCTAACATTAGCTGACTTCAACACTTGGTACCTGAACACATAACACATCTACAGACTGAATTTGTTTAAAATATATCAACATTGGTCTATGTTTTGTGTCTTTTTTCCGCAGCCATGTTATTTTCGCCCACCTTAAAGGAAGATAAATTTGAAAGTGACTATTGAACATAACCTGTCTTTACACACATGACCATTCTATTTTATGTTGTAATTTAAATTTCATGTCCATTATTCATGTGTTTAATCATTTTCAGATGACTTTTGGACCCCACAGCCCCTCAATACCTGAAAAGTTCATGGTGAATCTCAAACCTGAACTGTGTTCAGATAACAGCAGTTACGTGGGTGATTTCTGACCTGCTGACAGATTATTGTTCAGATCAATATTTGCTTCAACTCAGACACCCACCTCAATGCAGTTATGTTTGCGATTTCGGACCTTCTTGATTTTGACTGATTTTGCTGACTTTTTGCCTAGTTTTACATTTAATGTATATTTTATAAAAATAAAAGTCCAAACAAAGGAAACAGTGGATAAATAACACATAACAAGCCATGAGGAATTTATCATCCTTTAATTTTCAAACCCCTGATGAAATTTGGAAGTTTAATCTTACCCAAAATGTTGAAAAACTTACTTTTCCACATAAATTTTTTAACCAGATGTTATTCTTCCACCTTATTTGATTTGCAGATTTCCATGTCAGACAAAGATCAAGCGGTGTCATAGGATTCCTTTTCACTTGATCAGGAGGGATGCTGTTGTGTGCCAACTGAAATAAAAAATATGACGATGATAATCAATGCTAGTCCATAGTCATACCGTCATTGGGGCCTTGGTCTATAATTCAGGGTACAATTTCATTCTGTCTTACCACCTGCACCAGGTGCAACAAAGTGAACTAAGCAGGTTGCACCACCAAAATTTTCTGTTATTTTGAATTTTAAATAAATTCAAAGAAAAAACCCCTTGAGAATGTGCTCAAGTATTTATTTTGAGGTGAATCTGTACATGCCTTTTCATGTCATGATATCGAGTAAACAACCTTAAACAGAAGTCTCAAAGTGTCTGTTGTGATTGTAACCTCATGAGTGACTGTTCTATTGGTAAATGTGAAGAATGAGTCCTGCAAGTTCAATGCATTCAGACCACCTGTGTATTTCACTATTTTCATGAACCTTTGTTTCCTGGATTCGAAAAGACTTGCAGCCAGTTCTAAAAGAATTCAGTTTTCCACTTATGGTTGGAAATGTTACCTGCACTGGGTGCAACCTAACCTCACCTAAAAGTTACCGACACCTAGGCCTACTTGCACAGAACAATCTTAGCTACAATCAATCTTAGGCGGCTACAATCAATTTTACAATCACCATACAACTGTCCTATTCCACTTGCACAAACCCATCTTAACGCGATTGTAAGACGGCTCATCTAAGATTGAAATCTTCAACGGTGGAGGTACGAATATCTTAAACTCGACTCCTGTCTACAGTTGTCTGCAAACGCGCATAACTTGCTGCGTATACAATAAGTGGAACTGTTCACGTCACAACATGTACCTCCCTCCATGGCACCTTGCACAGTTTCAAGAAATGTGCCAATTATTTGAAGGAAACGATTACTAGAATGATGGCATATATTTTTGTTGGCATTAATAGTGTCATGATTTAGGAATTCAACAGTTATCTGTTGCAACTTGAGAAATACCTACTCATGTTTTTTTATCAAAAGTATTGAAATACGAATAAATATATTATTTAGTGACACAATCATTATGAAATTAAAATAAACAAGTATTTGTCACAAAGTGACGAAATGTCCCCCGCCTGTATATACACCATAGTACCAAATATGAAAACAATCCAGCGATTAGTTCTTGAGATATTGAGGCAACACCGTTTTCCAACTCCAAAAGCAGATTTGCCTGCTGTGACCTTGAAAATGGGGTCAAGGTCACCAAAACCGACTGGTGTCTGCGGAGTCTGTATATACACCATAGTTCCAAATATGAAGACAATCCAGTGTTTAGTTCTTGAGATATAGCGGCAACACCGTTTTCCAACTCTAAAAGCAGATTTGCCTGCTGTGACCTTGAAAATGGGGTCAAGGTCACCAAAACCGACTGGTGTCTGCGGAGTCTGTATATACACCATAGTTCCAAATATGAAGACAATCCAGTGTTTAGTTCTTGAGATATCGCGGCAACAAACAAGTGGGACGTACGGACGGACGTACAGACGTACGGATGGTCGTGAATACTATATCCACCGCTCCGCGCGGCGGGGGACAATAATACTAAAAATATTTCCTTATAACATAACACGGGGGAGCTTTTCGTAAAATACTAAATATATCCTTCATGCTTTCATTTCGTTGCTGTGACAAAGGATGTTATGAGTACTTTTTCAAAACACAGGAAGACGCAGGATTTCAAGAATGCATGGGAAATAATAATAATGAATAATGTTTCGAGAAAGCAGTTGTTTAATATATATTCACTTGGTATTAATTACATTGATAATTATCTTTAAAAGGTGTAAATTTTACTTTTGCTATTTATGGGATATTTTACACAAATTTCAAATGTCTCATCATGTGTATTTGCTTGTTTCTTTTCTTTTTAATTCAGATTTTAAAATCCCTCGTCCCCTGCCAACTCGATTTTAGATTTAAACATGTTTGACTTCATCTAATATTAATTTGTAAATTAATTTAATGATGAACTTAAGTCAAAATAACTGACACGAATGGGACCGAAAAGAATAACATGGGGAGCTCAGCGATTCTACAACATTAATACACTGGGCAAGGTAGATTCTACGCTACATGCTTACACAAAGGGAAACCACTCTCATAGAGAGTATAAACTATGATTAGCTGCCCTTGAGTTATCGAAAAGGTCACGGACGTTACTAATCGCTTGCATACAACTTTTTATCCTTCCCTTGATTAGTGAAAAGGTATGTTGTTTCACACTTCTTTCAGCATTGAGTCCGGTGGGTATAGTACTTTTACTTTTAGCTATTGATTCGATAGTTAAGTGGTTCACTATTGCAATTAACGATATTTCTGACGTTAAATCTTAAATTAAAGTGTTGATTTGAATCATAAAGTTAACAAAATAACGAGGCAATATTTGAACATAAGGCAGAATATTTATGTGAATTAGATGAGGTCCTGCACGCCATTTTGTCAAGTTTATTCAGGGACCACAACGATCTTAGCTACTTAAGATTGGTTTGGACCAATTGTAAGTTTCGCTTGTAGCTTACAATGATCATAGCCTACAATCCCTTTGATCAATTGGACAGCGATTGTAGCCGAAGCCTAAGATCGTGATCTTAAGGATTTACAATAATTGAAGTGCTAAGATTGTTCTGTGCAAGTGGACCCAGCAATGTTTTTACCTGCACTGGTGGGGCTTGTATGTGAAGAAAACGATCCCTGTAATTGAATGTGATTATGGCTATTAATGTAGCGTTTAAGTAATAGTATAGACAAATACTACAATGACAATGACAGAATTTGCTGCGTATATTTCTTATTTATCAATAAGTCATTAAAGCCTTAATCATGTTAATGATATTTAACATAACCCTAAGGTAATGATTGTTCTCTTCCTGTCAACATTAACAGATTTCTACATTCAGCTGTTTATTACTCAAAATTGTGTATCTTGTGTAAGTGAATAGGCAATATAATCAGAAACCTATTATCAGGATGAGTTGGTTTTCAAACACAGAGATCCATGAAAAACGTTTGACAGTGACCATCATACGTAAGGGCAATGTGTTGAATTGGAACCCCTTTGATCACATGTGTCTAATGGTACGCTCTCTGCTTGGGTGCTGCCTAACTTCCTTCTTTCTTACATATCATTCACTGGATACAATAGATCATATTTGAAGATATTGATGAATTTCAAAACAATTGTCATACACACTGGTATACCATAATGACATTATACATGTAGATGGAAATAAATACCTTCTACAGCAATTTAATATCATCTAACAGTTCTGGAATAGCTAAATATGCAAACAAAAGAATCAACATGTTTTTACACTATAGATGACTTATTGTACAATAACTTACATGTCTGAGTAGTGGAAGAAAACAACATTTGAAACATATCTGCCATGTTCGTTATGCTCAAACTCAGATAAAATTTTTGAATACATTTCTGGTGACTTTATTCCTGGAACCACACAAAAAATGACAGCTTCATAACAATTGTAGGTTATTAAAGAAATGTAAAAATAAAGCATCAATGGATTCAAGGATTACATTAAAGTTAAAGTTCATAAATGTGCAAGTTATTGAAATACACACAACAGAACCTCGTGCAACATTGTCACCATATATTGAATTACATGAGCAGTCTGTGCCCCAAAATGATGGGTCAACTAGCCCGAACAGGATTTTAGTGTTGTCATATTGACTATTATTAATTGGACTTACTACATCGAGCACAATTTTACTAGACTTGCGTTTCAAATTTGGGGTCTTTTCAGGAAGAATTGCTCAAGCAAAACATGTTATGTGTTTACAGTATAAAGAATTAGTACATGCATTATAGTATACTTTAAAGTACCAGACAACAGGCTACCGCTTGCTACTTGAATTCCGAAATGAAAAGACGTTGATACTTCATTGTGTTCAGTAGTATACAGTGCAGAGTCTGCTGAGTCCAGTAAAGAGTCAGAATATAATATGGCAGTTGCCTTATTAGTCTACAGCAATTTGTTATCTGCAAATATATTTAAAAATATTGGACATTACTATTTAATTGGATTAGGAATTCCACAGAGATTAGATAAGTATGTAAAACATAATTTTAACAGTATGATTAGAGAATCAAGATGATATTTTTAAGATTAGAAATTGAATTTGTCCCCAGTTTTAAGAGGCTTGGGTAAACCCTGTAGTGACCAGGCTCCATGGTCCAGTGCACAACATTTACAATGTAGGTCTAAAATAAACAGGGGGCCCTAGCACTTGACCTTACATCTTCCACAAACAGCCTGTCAGCTGAAAAGGAACATAGAAGTTTTCTTATAATGTTCAATTCTTCCAATCCAGGTGCAAAGAGTTTTAATATTTATAATATTAATAAAAAAACATATACTTTATGCTGACATCCCTAGCACCGGTTAAAATGATGGTGACTCGCTTGTATTACTTTTCCCATTTCTATTAGATTGGAGACACTTATTTCAGAATATGATGAGCAAACTTGACTCTTGTCAGGTAATATTATCAATACACCAGGTAGGCACCTTGCACAAACATAACTTGAGAAAGACAGAGACGAGTTCAACAAAAAATACCACAACAAGGTAGTGCACATTAGCTCTGTTGTGAGGAAGATACTGATTTTACAACTAAAGTGGACACTTTCTAGCACATTTTACAAACATACATAACCTGAAGATACCGTATTAATTGTGTTACGACAAAGCATGTGCAGATAGTTGTGGGAACCTTGGTTTGTGTCTCTTACAAACTGATACAAACAGTCTGTATTCATAATAATCAATAAAAATAGCACATTATAATACTAGAGTATAAGATACTTTAAAAAATTGAACTGTATAACTTTGTTTGTTTGTTGTTTAATGCTGTACTAAGCAATATTCATGCTTTGACAGCTGCCTGTAAATAATCAAATCTGGACCTGACAATCCAGTAATTGACATCATGAGCATCAATCCATGCAAATGGGATACGATGACATGCATCAACATGGTCTCTGAGCCTGACCCCTCAACCACGTTATGACAAGGATAGTCGCCTCTTAAAGCAAGCATGGTTTGCTGAAGACCTTTTCTGACCCTGATCTTCACTGGTAAATGTGTACAACTAAACATGCTGAAGTAGTGCCCATGAACATGTGGCACTTGCTGCCAAGACAATGACAAGAACTACAGTAACAATATTCCCTCTATTTGGGTACAACACAAATTGTCTAGAACACTGAGAACTAGGCACATTTGCTCTTAGTCCTTATTAAAGTGTGCTGGTACTGTACAGACAAATCTTATTTTGGAATGTATCAGAAATAACAGGAAAATGACAAGGACAAATGCAGGCCAGTAGACAAAGTGAAAAGAAAAATATACAATATATAAAACACTACCAAACAGATCACTATTTAAAAACAACACTATGTCATTTTTTGTATGTACAATGACATTATAATTGGGGATTCAATTATACTTACTAAAACAGGATGTTTCCAGCAGTGTTCACTACGGTTCATGATAAGGTATTCTCAGTTCTGTCCATTGCTCATAGGCAGATGTAGTGCCTGCTACTGTCAACAAAAACATTCCAACATTACACCCTACACTAATCTGTATGAGTTAAATGGAGATATATTCATCAATAAAATGGTATTTTGCCTTCAGACATTTAGTTATCAGAGGATTACAGTTAGTTAGATGCTGTAGGCCTAGTCATCATCTTAAAATATGACAACACAATTATTCAGGTATAAATGGATAAATTTGAGTTTGTTGACAGGTTGCAAAGAAACAATACAGATGTAGACTGACCAGTGTAATTAACTAACAGTTGGGGAATGTTGATCATGACTTGTTATAAAGTCTATCAGTCCGCCTCTCTACTATCAACAAACATTTAGGCCTACAAAACAAACACTTTCACCAGCACTTTGAGAATACCAGGGTCACGTGATGGTGTTTTGGAGCATTTTCAGTTGTTTGGGACTTCAGAGCTTGAATAAATTTTCTGCCTCCGATGCATACTGCTGAAATGTAAACAAAATACGACATATAATAGTATATATATGTAAGTACTTATTACTAGTAATTACTACCAGTTGGACTAAAAGAAACGAGCGATTCTGAAAAGGAACGTGACCCAATCGTCTTTGGATGCAAGTGATTCGCGTCAAAACATGGGCGCTTGATACCAGGCAACAACTCCAATACAATATACGATAGGTAGTACTGTAGGACATACTGTTTCGGTAAAGCACTCTTTGTTTTAGAATAAACGGCATTTATGATGCGTGACCTTGCTTGTGCACGTCGACGTTGTTTCTAGGGACGCAAAGAATGCAAGGCTACCTGTAGAAAACACGCACGACATTACGTTCCCATTTGTGGCAATGGTAGGAATATTGAAGAGTATTTATTGGTATGAAAACACCCACGTTTGTTGTGCTCTATTTAGAGAAAAGACACAATTAACTAGCCTAAACTAGGCCTAAGTTGAGTGGAACAAATGACGTGACCTTACACAAAATGGCGGCGGATGATGATGCATGACGAGGTCATGTGACCAGCTGGTGATGTAATATTATCAATGGTTACCGTATAATTTTCTTCATGATAATGTAGATTCTATTTGTAATTCCAGGTGACTGGGAACATACTGGAATGGTGGTTGAAAGGTTTGCATGGCGCATTTCACCATTACGAAGCTACTTCTACATCTAGAAAGCTAGCTGGTTACAGGCTGAAGTTGCTCTGCGGTAATCTATTTATTTTTCTGTTGAGACAGAGCCTGGCTTGCATACCATCGACGTAGACTCGTTGACCAATGAAAATCATTTTAGACATGCGCCTTTGCCGTTACCTAGTAGTAGCAGTAAATGTTAGTCTCCAGAGACGTAGAGACCGTCTTTGTACCTACTAGTAGCAGGTCATAGTTGCTAACAACTCTGTGCTAGTAGTAGGTAATATTTCCTGGATCGGGTGGTCTGGACTAGATGACGCGTTTCTTGTTAGTCTAATTGAATAACAAACACACATCTTGCGGCTAGGATGGAATAATTTGTCTTAGAATTACAACTGAGCTACGGTTAGATAGAGGGTGTCTACTCCATGTCGCCGTTTGGCGGCACCATATCACAATATCGACGTATCGCAATGTCGTGTCGAACTATCGCTTTGTTGCGATATCGCTTAGATAACACAGGGCAATGGCCCAAATAAGCAGTGGATTATGAGCTTAAATCTCATTGGTCAAGCCCAATTGTCGTCCTTAGCCCTTACATCTAAGACACCGACTCCTTGTATATACATATTCATTATTTATCGAGCTTCGTGGATGATGTAGGTGTTGGTTAGCTTATTTTCTGTTGAGAGTTACATAATATCAGACAAATAACATAATTTGGGAAGGTCTCACTGATATGTACACGAGATAAGTAAATCAAAAGTAGTGAAAATCAGTAGAAACAGACTTGACCATACAAATTCATGAATACATCTCCGAGTTCATTCCACTTTTAATCATAAATACAACATGTTTGTATCAGAAACGATGGCATTATATCTAAAAATGTAAACTGGATATTATATTGATCCAGGGTAAAATATGTAACTTATTAATACTTGGGTTCAAAGTTTGATCAGAGTTATAAAAGCGAACGGCATGGATTGAAAGCACTTGCAGCAAAAACATCTAAAGTAAGGACTATTTATTAAATGTTTGTTTGTTGTTTAACGCCACACTTAGCAGTATTCCGGCTACCTGGCGGCGGACTGTAAATAATCGAGTCTGGACCAGACAATCCAGTGATTGATTGAGTGAGTGAGTATGGTTTTACGCCGCTTTTAGCAATATTCCAGCAATATCACGGCGAGGGACACCAGAAATGGGTTTCACTCATTGTACCCATGTCGGGAATCGAACCCGGGTCTTCGGTGTGACGAGCGACCAGTGATTGACACTATGAGCATCGATCTACGCAATATTGGGATACGATGACATGCATCAACCAAGTCAGGGAGCTCGACCACCCGATCCCGTTACTCGCCTCTTACGACAAGCATAGTCGCCGCCTTTTATTCCATTTATTGAATGAATGAATGAATTTCTGATGTCAAGTTGCACCAATTTCATTGTATGGTTTATAATTTGGGAAATGAAGTATAATGACGACATTGAAAAGGTACATAATTATGTTCTATTAAAAGAGCTTTTAGGGTATCGGTAAATATGCTTCAAATAAGGATTTTTTGGTGAAACGGGTCAATATTCATTGTGTTTTTTTGTATTTTCAGTTAAGTTAGAGTATTGAAATATTGATCAACATATATATATATATAACTATAACTATATATAACTATATATAACTATATATATATATATATATATATAACGTTACATAACTTGCATAATGTTCAAAACGGCAATTATCCCAACTCACTATAAACGTTATCATTTGTCTGCAGACTATATGCCTTCGTTAAGCCTTGTAACCTCATCGCAGCAGTCGGGGTTAAGGTCAAGGACGTCAAAGACATCCGATAATTTTGCAATATAGAACGTATGCAGCCTGATGGGTTGTCGGCGGCCATTATTTATGCATAGGCTATTGATGTATTCGCACCCGCGGTCTTTTTTGTAAAAAGGTTAAATTTAGCGCGGTTTCGTCCTGTGGTTGTTTCCAAGGAAACTATTCGATTGTGGTTGGTTAATCTGAGGCATAGATCACATTTCACTTTCATGGTTGAACATGATTAACACCAGATTAACCAATCAGAATCGGGTAATTTCCTATTTCATGGTAGACTTGACGTGATGAAGGTATTAGACATTTACCATTTGAGGAAACCCACGAGCACAGGTTTCTTAAAACCCAGATTCGAAACCAATACCACAGGTTTCTGGTGAGCCTAATGTACGCAACTCCATGACAACCCATGTCCCCTAGAAACGGGGGAAAAAAGAAAACACACAGTTTACATTTCAGTTTATTTCATTTTACCCACCATCCACTCTGGATACTTGTGGCAACTGTTTTTATTATCCATTATACAAACATTATGACATATACACACAGCTCAATATCACTGTCAACCAAGATTCATAATAAGCCTTACACCAGGACAACAAACAAACAATTTACCTGGGTTGTGTCACATTGTTTCACTCACACACGTGCAGTAGCCAACATTAATATCACTAAAATATCTGTAACAATTAACATGATCAACAATCAACACACATAAACAAACATCTGTCCCTGATAAAAAATAAACTATGAATCGGGCAAAGAGAAAAAGCAGTCTGTGAACAAGATTGTTTTCAGCTCATCCTTGATCGTCCAGGGAATAACATCTCCATTCTAATAGATTAAATCCCCTGGACCCATTAACCAACATAGCTTCGTTTGTAAATCCCTCTTAGCACATGATCTATCATTCTTTAGCTTGAATCATAAATCTCCAGTGACGTCATCCTATTTTCCTCCAGAGGGGTTAAATCTCATGTATATGGATGTTATACTATCCGGGGGATATTTGCTATATAATATGTTAAAATATCACCGGGATTTTATTAATACAACTTCCGCTTATATTGTAACATATGCATATGCAGGTTTCTAGAAAGACAATTATTTTGGATTTTAACACAATGTTATGAAATGTAACATCAAATCTATTTTTTTTCGTTATATTCCCGCGGATCGAACACGCAACCTACGTATCTGTAGCCCATTGAGTGTTACAATAAGCTAGAGAGGCGCTGATAAATCATAATGCTTTTAATAATTCCTTTCCAAGTAACCGCACGCTAGCAACAGATATTTTACGCCCGTTTCTTAAGGATCTTGGAAAGTATGTTTGAAACATAAAAATATTGATTTTTTAAAGTTTTTCTTCGGTTTATAAGTTAGACAAAACACTTCCCCTCAGGTTTTTATGAGATTTAAAACCCTCATCCTCCGGATAAAACCCTGGGGATAACGCCCCGGGGTTATATCCCTTGGATTATGTTCTTAAATCTCATAAAAACCTGAGGGGAAGTGTTTCATCTAACTTATTAACTAAAATTTCATAAAACGTTTTATCCTACAAAATGCCTCTTCTGAAAAAAAAAGGAAAATATTTTCCTGAGTAAAAAGATAGAGTAAAGACCCATCCCCCTGGGTGTTGATGTTGTTTTGGACATGGCACCTGACAGTGGCCTCAAGTACAAGTGGTATCCCACTGGTTTCAATCATGAAGAAGGATTAGGATGTAATGTGACTGGACATATACTCTTAGAGTTGTGTCATTTGAAAATAAGAGGTATGATGGTGAATGGGTCGAGAGAATTATCATTATCATGATAATAGAAAAGATAACACTAACTGGAGGATGCTCATCATGCATACACTGACGAATCTAGTGATGAGCCTACCCTGTGACCTAAGGAGAAAGTAAATAGCAGCAAGTATTGTCCACACACATCACAGTTTATCACACTGGGTACTTCTCTGTGTAAATATTGTAGTTTGTTATCAGAATCCTGCATCCCATGCAGCACAAAAATCAAAATTCAATCACTGAAAAAACCAACATGCAACCCATTAAAAATAAAAAAAGAATGCACTCCTGAAAAAAAGGTTGGTAGTGATTACAATTACATCGGAAACACCTTGGGTGTCAGTTCTGGAGTAATGCTAGATCAGGAAAACAAATCAGCTGATAAGTGAGTGAACCTTAGAAAAATATGTGAAAATTTATTTATTTGTACTCTTCATGATGACCCAGTCAGTCTTCAATTTGTCTACATATAAAGTTTGGTGCATCAATATCAAAGTATCAGAACGAAATGATACAAACGTGTACATGTGACATTTTTGGGGGCTTGTTGCCTTATTGGTGATGTCACCTATTCACTCACTGTAAAATTAAAACTTTGAGCTTCTATAAAATTATTCATTAAATTATTATTAAAATCATTCATTGATCTTGTGTTGTAATTTACCGTATATTTCTATTTCTGTACAAACCCATTTGGATTAACCCCTGCGTTTAAATCTGGAAATGGGCTGGTGACACTATTGTAATCCTGTTGTGATATCAACTAGAGCTTTGCCCCTCTGCTGATCCTGTCTTGGAGCAGTCTCCATGCCTTCTCACACTGTCTCTGTGTGCAGTCATACTCCCACATCGTACACAGGGTCACATTAGCTTGTGCAAGGCGGTCCTGATTGGTCAGCTGGGCATCAAGTCTCTTTACTGCTTCTTCTTCCGACAAGCTATTCCTCTCCATCAACCTCTTGGTGGCTTCAACGCGAGGTACAAACGCTGACCAGACCTCATGCACCCTGCTGTTCCATCCAGCCTCCAGCAACACAGCTGCATCTAAGATCACAACCTCCTTCCCGCTCTCCTGAAACCTACTAATTTCTGCCTCGGCTAGTTTCATAATTTCTGGCCAAACAATTTTGTTTAATTCATCAAGTTTACTCCGGTCTGAAAACACAATACCGCCCAGCTTCTTCCGATCAATCTCCCCATCTGAGCCCACAATATCTTCCCCAAAGGTTTGTTTGATCTTATCATAGGCAAGTGTCCCAGGTTTATAAGCTTTGTGTCCAAGTTTATCACAATCCACTACTCCTGCTCCTAATCCTTCAAGTCTTCTACAGATGGAGGATTTCCCACTAGCTGTTCCCCCAGTCAGGCCAATCCTGTACGGTGATTTGGGCACGTTGGAGTTGACAACAGGTTTCAGCAGAGCTCCAAGAAGACGTTTCCTTAAAGAGGAGGAGCTGACTTTATCATCTTCATCCGGGGTGTGGCTGTTGTCGGCCACGAGATCAATCACTACCTGTTCAAGTCTGTTCATCCCTTGTTTCTCTCGCTCGGTATTAACCATAGCACCACCCTTCCGGGTCTCATCACTCAGAATGATGCACTGAAAGTCAGGGTCCGTGACAGTTGGTCCATAGGCATCAAATATGGTCACCGCATCAGGTTCAATTGTCGGTTTTATGTCCTTTATGAAATCTTCCACGGCTGAAGTCCGCACAGACAGGGGTTCCATAAGCTCTGCAACAACCTTCTTGTCGTTCATCTTACCTTCAGAGATACCTACAGTTAGCTTCTTGTTAGCAAACATGCAGCCTTCACTCAGTAGAATCTTGTGACCAACATGCAGTCTATCAAAGGTTCCGCCTAATACAACATTTTTATATGTTGTAAGAACAGGATCATCCGAGAGATCAGAACTGGAACTAGAACTAATTTGTGGGTCAAGTATATGGAAGTCCACATCTGCATCTGTCAAAAACAATGACTTGACCTGTTCCAACAGAAATCCTTTGTCCTCAGACAACTCATTTGATGTTGGGGTGTTGTCTAGGATAACTAGGCTGTATTCCCTCAGTAAAGGATATTTTGCTAACTTCAGATCATGGTTTGTGATATGACTCAGCAGGACCCGGATGTCTAACTGTCGGCAGACTGTGGAACCAATGGAATAGATGTCCTTCACAACTTTCCTTATCTCTGAGGTAACAGGGACTGGGGAGAGAAGGAACTTGGTGTTGGAGTTCCTTGTCTTGATTGGCTGGAGGTGAACGTAGAGTGTATCGGACACCACTTGGGACACGCGTTGGAGTAGCGAGGGAATCTGTCCTCGCAGAGCTGTGAGGGGCTGTGTCAGGATAAGCAGACCACTTGACACCATGCTTCGGTCTGAAAGTAGAAAGATGAGGCGTATCATGAGTGAACGACGTTTGGTTTACTGGTGAGGTGAGATACAGATTATTACATGGATAAAGCGATGTGTATGTGTGCTTGTGTATGAACTATTGCCTGTTTTATGGTGCTAGCCTACTGAGATACCATACTGTAGTTCAACATGAATACCCCACTCAGATACAGTATACTGACTCCGAGCCGACATGTTCTTGTGAGCAGGATAATAACAAGTACCATATTTTATATTTTTGGTATGATGAGGCCAGAGATCGAACGAGATTCAGCTCTCTTGGCATCTATGCTCTATCCACATGGTCTTTGGATTTAACACGGCTTTTGATGGATATTTAGTGAGTGAGTGTGTATGGTTTAACGCCGCTTTCAGCAATATTCCAGCAATATCACGGCGGGGGAATCCAGAAATGGGCTTCACACATTGTACCCATGTCGGGAATCGAACCCGGGTCTTCGGCGTGACGAGCTAACGCTTTAACCACTAGGCTACCCGACCGTCCCGATGGATATTTAGAAGCTGGAAGAACACAAGATCGTTTGGGATAACAACTATATTGCTTGTAACAACATTTCAGGACCTCTTACACAACCAGAGTGAGTGAGTGAGTATGATTTTACGCCGCTTTTAGCAATATTCCAGCAATATCACGGCGGGGGACACCATAAATGGGCTTCACACATTGTACCCATGTCAGGAATCGAACCCGGGTCTTCGGCGTGACGAGCGAACGCTTTAACCACTAGGCTACCCGACCGCCCCTCCATAACCAGAAACCTCATTGGCCATCTGGATTGTTAATCTAGTCAGCTCTTTGTTATCACACCCAGCCTTGCTTGACAACAGTATAAGGATCTATATCGAAATGTCGCCTTTACAGTAAATAAAGAAGTTCTATAAATTGTGTCTACATTGTCCTCTTCTAAGTAATGCGGGGCGGTCGGGTAGCCTAGTGGTTAAAGCGTTTGCTCGTCACGCCGAAGACCCGGGTTCGATTTCTGACATGGGAACAATGTGTGAAGCCCATTTAAGGTGTCCCCCGCCGTGATATCGCTGGAATATTGCTAAAAGCAGCGTAAAACCATACTCACTCACTTACTCTAAGAAATGCCTGTCAAACAATTCAATAAAGAAGTTATAAAATAATGTTTCGTGTCTTACATATTGTTCATATTCCCGTTATATCACAGCATGTCAGCAATGCCTTAGATGTTTACTTCAGCATACAGTTATCAGGGCTCGGTTCAAGGAACAGCTAGATGCACCAGATAAAACCAGGTTACACCCTGGTCCCATAAATTTATCACAGTTGAAACGTATAAACTGGTCATATTAAGGTGGTCAGACCCCTCTCCCACAGCTCGGAGGGTTGTACTGACTCTCTGCGGTATCCACAGCTAAAGTTAGGATATTGTTCATTGTTCACGTTTCTTACAAATAAAATTGTAATTGTCTCCTTTGACTCAGGCTATTTACAAGAAAACCAGCACGCCATTTGGAAGGTTTTGTACATCAGAACAGAACCATAATAGTATCCCAATCGTGTGGATTGATGCTCATGATGTCAATCACTGGATTGTCTGACATGTCACTAAGACATAAATATTTGGTTGCATTTTTCAATAATATGTTGCACTGGTGCATTTTTTATTATAGCTAAATCGTGCCCTGCTAATAATCAGGTGAAGCTAACCAAAGACGGTGGCGGAAAGTAGATGGATGGGTGACTGTGTATGGCAGCTATACTCCCGAGAGTTTTGGGGGCATCGATCCTGCCCCACAGCACATGTAGCATGTGTGTCTTCAGGCAAGTGATGGACTGTGTTTGTAAATGTGCCTCTGTTCACAGAGCAGTGAAAGGGTACCTAGTAGGAAGAGATGTAATGTGGCTGCTAACATGGTTAACCTTCTAGCGCCTCATAGGCAGCTTGGGTTGTTGTCTCTGCAGGGAGATAAGAATGAAAATGGAGGACACACTGATCCATTGACAGTGTAATAATGTAGCGCTTTGAGCACGCTTTAAGTGGCTTGGGTGAATTATAAACATGCATTATAATTGGAATGATACCTGGTTGATTATGGTGATGAGTGAGTGAGTGAGTGAGTATGGTTTTACGCCGCTTTTAGCAATATTCCAGCAATATCACGGCGGGGGACACCAGAAATGGGCTTCACACATTGTACCCATGTCGGGATTCGAACCCGGGTCTTTGGCGTGACGAGCGAACGCTTTAACCTCTAGGCTACCCGACCGCCCCGATTATGGTGATGATGATGATGATGATGATGACAAGAACACATAAGTGTATGTAGCAGAGGCATTTCACTCTGGCGAAACCAACAAGGTAACAAACCAAGGATAGAGACTAGAAATTCAAGCTCAGGATCAATGGATAGGGATGCAACTCTACACAGTGAATTGCACAACTAGGCCTGGGTGAGGCCTCTATTGATATCTATGAACAGGAATCAACACACACAACCCACAAAAACATTCAAACCGTCACCATTGTTAATAATGTTATTTGTTAACCAGGTGACTGCTAAGGATACAAACATACTCCACAGGGTATCCTGCTACCCTCACCCTCCACCTGAACAGCACTCAAACGGCTGATTAATTGACAGTTTTTATCATCGAAATTACTTTTACATAAATAATAATGATAATATCATATGATGAAAAATATGGATGAAATATATATACAGCCTAGGGTTATTCTGAACCAAGATAAAAACATTGTTTCATCATAATCACAATAATCATGCTTGAATTTAACTTTTAGTCTCCATGATATTATTTCAAGGAAGAAAGATTTTTATTTATGTTTATGTACCAACTCTGACAAGTGTAAATTGGCACAGCTCCCATGGCCGAAAGCTATAAACACACAATGCCATTTAGAAAGTGGTCAAATGTAACAAATGTTATATTTGGGATAAAACTTTCTTAGTAAAGTACAGATTCTCATACTTTTTGGGGTTGAGTCCCATCTGGGATTTGAACCCACACTGCCAGGGTGAGGCACCTAATCGCCAGCACATAAAGTCAGCGGTTTAACCCACTCAGCCACCAAGGATTCCACAAAAATGAATGTCCGACAATTGGTAGTCTAGATCATGTACCTTGTGTACCCCTCTGACAAGTGTTAATTGGCACAGCTACCACGGCCAAAAGCTATGAACACACAATGCCATTTAGAAAGTGGTCAAATGTAACAAATGTTATATTTGGGATAAAACTTTCTTAGTAATTGGTAATGTACAGATTCTCATACTTTTTGGGGTTCGAATCCTGTATGGGATTCAACCCCAAAAGTACAAGAATCTGTACTTAACTGGGAAAGTGTCATCCCAAATAAAACATATGATCACGATTACAAGTATACTTACCGCCAAAAGAAAAGCGAACAATAGAAACACGTAGAGAAGTAGTGGTGTAACGATACATTAAAACTATCGATTGATTGCGATTGCTTGTCTCACGATAGTACACTATCGATTGCAACTTGAAACAATCGATACTATTGGCGATAGTTTGTCTAACTATCGATAGTTTCGATAGTTAATTTGTTTGGTACATTTACTTTCTTAAAAAACATAGAAACACCTCCTATGATCATCTAACCTCTGTTGTGCTTTCCTTTGGATTGCACTACTTTATCTGCTTGATTTAGAATTACGTCCCTTAGCTACTCGTCGCTAGGCAACATTGACAAGATGGCGGACGCCACATATCAGTTTTTGTCAACTTTGTTTCCTAATTGATATGTTGAATCGCATTTAGTCATTCAGTGATTGCCAATGTGACAATTAGTTTGACAGTTTGTATAGTCAAATACTAGTCATTCAATCACATTCATTCACATTGGTGCTAAAACACTGCAGTAACCTTAGACTTTACAAGTTACATGAAGTGAAATTTTGTATTAAAATGTTTTTGAGAGGTCAATTTGAACTTGTTTTCTTCTCATTTCTTGTTTTCTTTACAAATAGTATCAGAAAGTTATAATTATTTTGATGGTGTCAGTCAAAATGCTGAAATATATGCTGCTAAAGCCTGCTATAATTGCAAGTGAAAACTATCGCAATAGTATTGCAATAGTAGGGCCACTATCGCAATAGTATTGCAATAGTTGTTTTAACTATCGCAATAGTATCGCAATAGTCAAAAATGCCTCAATAGTCACCCCTATAGAGAAGTATGTACATCAAGAAGAGATGTTTCTAATGTGTACCACTAAATGACAAAACTAACAATCAATCAAGTGTTACCATAGAGTGTCTTTATTCTTATCATGATATGATGCACGTGTTTCCAAACTTTACACACTAATCCTGCACGAGACAAATGGTGCATCTGGAGTCATGGATCTGTGATGTCACATGTGATGCGTTCATGAGCGTCGGTTCAATATGTTTTTTGAGTATCAAACCATTCTAATCTCTTGAATGAGTACGTCTTCATCTATTAACCAACAGGTATGGTTTTCATGTTCCTTTTGGAGGTGAGTATATTTTGGGTGGGATTATAGAGTCTGTTCGCCAACCAAAAGAATCACAAAAACTAGCTATAACACAAGAAAATGAGGTCTGAAAATACATATTTAAACGTGACCATTCAATCCTTAGGGTTAGTTGTGTTAGGGTTTGGGTACCCATAGCTCTTGAATGCAAATAGTGGCCAACATAGTCTATAGCAATTCAGTATTTGGGATGAAAACTCAATTAAGTCCTGTGTTACAGGGTTTCAGATGGCCGTCGGTCACAGACCGATAATATTTCAAATGTCAGGTGGTTTGTTTAAATTGTTGAACTTTTGACCGATAGAAATGCTGAGAAATGCATCACAAGCTTTCATGACTTCATGATTAGAAAGTTATTCCTACTTACAGTATCATTTCAATGACCAATGAAATGCTCTCATAAAGTTTTGTGTCATTCTGAAAATGTACAACACAATATTGTCCTATTTTCGATCAAACTTTTCGGCGTCATGCCTTTATTATTGTTCATAACACAATGATACTTTATTTGTATTATTGTCTTATGTTGGCAATGTTGTCTTGTTTTTTCAACAAAAGGTAAGTTAATATGCGGTAAGTTTTTTTTCAATATGCTTCAACATGGGTTAGACATTGCACATTTGTGACAGTTGTCCTTGTGTCTGGGGGATGGAGGATGAAGTTTAAGGCAGAATTGCCCCCAGACCCAGGAGGCAGCCGGGTGCCCAGAAGCTATGCCCGATTTCTTAAAAGTATCGATTTAACTTTGAATTTCTAGGGCAGTAACCCACACTGACAGATCCACAGAAGCTGCCATCATTTTTAAACATGCTGTTTGAACAAATACATTTTGCACATTTTTATGTTTTTATTTTTAAAGGCATCACATCTGCTGCATGCCCCACAATACTGACTTATTAACTTTTGCCATTGACTTGTTACATATATTGGGTCCAATTCATTGACACATTTTGAGTCAAAATCACTGAATGTTATGTGAATGATTGCCTTATTCCTGACCAAATTTCTTTGTTGGTTGGTTGGTTGGTTGTTTAACGCCGCACTCAGCAATATTCCAGCTATATGACGGCGGTCTGTAAATAATCGAGTCTTGACAAGACAATCGAGTGATTAATATCATGAGCATCGATCCACGCAATTGGGATCGATGACATGCATCAACCAAGTCAGTGAGCCTGACCACCCGATCCCGTTAGTCGCCTTTTACAACAAGCATAGTCACCTTTTATGGCAAGCATGGGTTACTGAAGACCTATTCTACCCCGGATCTTCACAGGTACAAATTTCTTTGTGGAACTGATGACGATGATACAGTTTGACAATAAGACAAAAAGTGAAATGGCAAAACTGTCCGACTTTGATGATCTGTGAGAACTGAGTCAAATTCTTCATAGATTTATCAAAAGAAACCTGGTTTCATATTTCATAATAATATGTATAACATTGTATGATGTATCCCTATCTTCTTGTCTGTAGAGAATGTTATTTTCATGCTAGAATTAAAATTTGTCATTTCTCAAAGGATGGTTTAAATAAAACATACATGTATATATGTCATTGGATTGTTTAGTGGCTAACTATCAGTATTTTTTATTTCGAACCCGAGTACAATATATTATATCAGTAAACCAAACAAATACGATCATCAATTACCAAGAAGAGTATATAATCTGGCCTACTTGTAAAATAGTAGAGAATATTTTTGTATAAATGTAGTATCATAGTAGCATTGATTGGCTCCAGGTAGTGGTGAGCTAGAGCCAATTTATCATGCGATCGTTGAACATAATCATTTTGGCATAAAAAATTCCCCCTGTAGTAGGTATATAAATCCGGCTCCAGTGGGGTTGCGGCAGAATCACCATTACCTATAAAAATTTATATCATAGACTCCAGGTGGTGGTGAGCTAGAGTCAATCTCATGACTATCGTTGAATCGCATAATCATTTTGGCATAAAAAATGCCACCTGTAGTGGTGGTATAGGTATATAAATCCGGCTCCAGTGGGGTTGTGGCAGAACCATCAATACCTATACTACTACATGATCAAATAAAGAACAGTTTAGTATCTTATGATGTTTATCAATTAAGAAGCATCTTATGACGAAAGTTATTGTTGTGATAAATAGTGATCTCTGATAAAATGTTAATGCACTGACTGTATACTGCATACTGTATACAGGTTGAAGGTTTCTTCAATTTCAGTGTGCTGGAGAGGGAAACATGAATTTTGCAGATCCCTACTTTTTGCTGAGAAGGGAATAAAAAAACTTAAACCATTTAGTGACAGTGACATCTTAACAACCAGTGACATGAGGCTGGCACTCAAGTGTCTGTCCTAATTGAAAGGGAACAAGCAGGATTTAGTATGGGAAACCTCATTTGCCTAGCAATGCGGAGTGAAACACTGAAAGCTTAAACAGCACCTCAGCTAAAAATGAATGAGTTAAAATGGTACCGATTATTAATTTTTCAATCTGTTTTTTTTTCTAAAAAAAAAACAATTGATGAAATTAAATTCACAGATTCACATGCAAACACATATAATTGCAACATCTTAATTGCTTTTAAACATGTTTACATTAGAAATTAGACTGTACTCCACTTTACTTGCCGATTGGGAGACGAAATTAAACATATTCCAAAAACATCTCATTCAACAGTTTTCAATTTAGCTCAATGTCAAACTGATGCAGGACATATGTTGTATGTGAGAAGACAGTCAGGTAAAATCAACACCCAGTATCATGTGATGCTACGCTGAAATATGGTTAAAACAGAATGACAATAATAAAATTAATAGATGAAATCATATACCTATATATGTAAGCCTATAGTGATGATAGTATGGTGACAAAAGTAGAATCAATGTTACCAATTAATAAAGTATAAATACAACTACATAAATCGTTTTTATCGTATTTTATTAATATTGGAAATACAGTCGAAACTATCGATATTCTGAAGTGAAATCGATATTATTGATCGGAAACGGATATACAATCGATTTATTGACTTTAAGTGCTTACCAATAGCAATATATCGATATTTCGATTTATCGTGACACCCCTACCAAGACGACGTTTTTTAGCCTGCACCCACCTGGCGCAGCTTACTAAATCACTGCAAGCATTTATTAGGTCAGTTGATTGTTTCACTGAAACTTTCAGGGTCTGTCGTTTGAAAACGGATTCGTTTCTGTGTTTGAAGTGAATGTCATTTAGTGTAACATCGTTATCATTGTGAAACAAATTACGATGAGATACCCCAAGGAGGAAAGACCTAGATATATTGTATACCTTTTTATCTGCAGATAAATCCACTTCGGCAAGATTCAGCTCAAGCCCTAGCGTTCAAAGTTCACATAATGAACAGGAAATGGTTTTCTTAAAATCCGGATGATTTCGTTGGTGGTTGTAAAACACTTTTCTAAAATGATTCCTATTCGTCACCTTTTCTTAGAATTGGCGGAGAGGGTAGGATCAGGAGAAGACACACGTGTATCAGTGTAATATTCAACTTTACAGAGTACAGGAACTTTATTTCTCGCGTCCATAGAAATGTGAACGGGCGAGTCCGGGTGGTACTTTAACTGGTACCTGGGATAGGATGCGCAATCCCCTTTCTCAATAAGTAGAATCCAATGACAATGACTGGGTTCCAGTCAAACGCACATGTTTATGTACGCTCAACAGCAGCGCATGCTACGCCAGTTTGGGTTCATGTATCTATTGAGCAATACCCCCTACCGTAGTAACGCTGTCCGGAGTTTAATGGTCACGTAAACTGGTATTATGGAGTAGTTTGTGTCGATATCAAGCTTACACAAGAAATAAATCAAGAATCTACATATCCTTAAAAATATACACTGAAAAACACGCACTTGAGCACATCGATTGACATTTCTGTTATTGAAATTGTAAAATTCTCTCTAGGTCTTTCATGTCAGGATGGCCGAGCGGTCTAAGGCGCTGCGTTCAGGTCGCAGTCTGGTTCTCCAGGCGTGGGTTCGAATCCCACTTCTGACACAAACTTTTTCTTTTCGTTTAATGTGTATGGCAATCTGGATTATACGAACTCGTTTATTCAAAATATAGCGATAGAAACTAACAATTTTGGTCCACTAGTCCTTATAATGATAACATATAGCAAAACGCTTTAAAAATTTCTAATCGCTTATGATACCATAACCATTCGGCAGTTTGGCAAAGGCTATGGTACTAGTCGCAATTGTTATCGCTGAAATACTCCCAGAGATTTTTGACATCCCTTATATATTAACATATACTAGTTTAACAGTGGGAGTGAGTGAGTGAGTGGATTTAGTGTATACATACCAGAGGCGATCCAGGATTTTGAAAAACGAGGGGTGCACATTACAGTACCGTCTGTCGAACCCAGGATTTCAGTGTGCTGAGATGACGTTTTAAATCCATGGCTACCCCACCGCCTCATTAGGATGGTGTTTTTTTTTAAAAATAACAGGTGAACATATTGACGTATTCCAGCTGGTACTAGACCTATAGTATAAGTTGTCGATGCTCCGATGCGATAAAATAAAGTAACGATTAATCGGCCAACCTGCACTCCTGTGTTCATAATCAATTGTACCCAATCAACTGTAATATCAAATTATAAGATTTACGGTATCTCTTGTCGTATTCAAATATCATGTCTGCAAATCCACCCCGCCCACCCGACCCCCCTGATGAATAAGAATTTTATTATAAAAATCATTGTAAGGCTCGCCAACATCCATTTTTTGTGTGTGAAAAAATAGCAACCGATTATGATCCAAGTATGACCAATGATCCGTGATACAATCCCAGCCAATCTCTTCACTAAACTGAGCTGGAGCATAAACTGAGAGAGAAAAAAACTATACCTCTCAGTTGATTTGATCACATTTTTGATTTCCAATTGAAAATATCTATGTAAACGATAATATATCCAATACATGACCTGTACTGGCGCGTATTCAGCATTCGAGGAATATGAACCGTTTCATTGGCATTTTAGGAGTTGGTAAGTAAAAGCAAAGTTAAGATATCTTATGGATGACAACTTCTTTATTATATTATCTATACCGAAACGTCGCATCATAATAGAATAAAGAATTTGTCATCAATAAAATATCTTGTCTTTACTGCCACTTTAAAAATAATTCTACATGGAATTAATTTTTTAAATACATTGTTATTTAAAAAAAAAAAAATTAAAAAAAAGACTTTGTCGCACAATACACAAGTGCCGATGGATATCTTATATTTTATAAGTTGAAGATTCAGATCGAAAGTTGTTAGCTTATTATCAATGTGACATAACACATGAGGTTGCATGCGACATGGAAGATGCACAACACATGTAGGTACATATGGGTTTTATACGAGAATGAACACCACAACAAACCTACAGCGAACAGTGAACATCTAAATAAGTATTTACACTGCCCACAATGTATGGGATGGTGACAGAAACGTGATGAAATGTTAATTCAATATCATGTCTGCTTTAAGAAACATCACATGTGATGAACATTATAATTTTGATGTAAAAGCTCTCCTGCAATCTTAATATGAAATACACATTTCTTAAAATGCTGTGAACTTTTTTAATTATTTCAAAATACCAACCCTACATGACAGTTTGCTACATACTTGTACAGTGGTGCTTTATTGCCATACATAACAATATTGTTTGTTTTTATCTTTAAGTATGAAGCGTTTGCGTTCTGTTCAGATCTTTATCTAAAGTACAGTTTAACATAATCCCAGACGGTGATGTAAGGGAGATAACTCTAAATACCGAAACCTTGTTTTCGGGGAGCTTCTGACAATTTAGTATGTCTCCCAGATTCTTGAGAATAAATCTGAAATATTTGTCAAAGCGTCGTTAAGACCAACTCACACACACTTTTGGCATGAGTAGCCTCCCTTAGCTACCAAGATGCGCTTGTCATTGGTTCGAATCCCTGATTATGATCCTTGGTCTGTAATCACAAACCCTGATGTCGGAGTTTCCAGCATTGTGCGTCTCGCACCTCTATGAATGCGTTTGTGTCCCCAACTATGAGCTATTGATTTACATTACGATCTGACTGGAGTCCGTGATTGAGCCGACTCGCCACAAAATACTCACCGAGGCGGGGTATACACACGAGTTTAAACCAAACTCTCTGCTCATTCCTGTTTAGATAGATAATGGTCATTAGCGACCACAACAGGACATAGAAGACGCAGAGAATGAAACTAAACCACAGTACATCGCAACTTCAAGCGTTTCCATATATATATATATATATATATATATATATAAGTATGACGTCATATTATATGTCATTGTCAGTTACACTGAAGAGCTGTCATGAGACAGCGAAAGTACTATGTCTGAAACTGATATAAAGAAGATGATGGACTTACGTGGACTTTATTATTTTATTTTATATATATATAAATATATATATATATATATATATATATATATATATATATATATATATATATATATATATATATAAGCACGAACAGGTTTTAGGTTGATTTAACAAACACGACCCTTGTTTTATTTTGTATAAGGCTTCTTCTTCTATCAAAATGTTAATATGTAATTATGCTATCACTAGCCATTTCGATGTGTTTTTAGTTATCGCATTTACACATTCAAGGATTAACATAATTTACTTTTCATAGTGTATTGATATTTTAGCACGCCTAAGTGATTACGCTTGGTCACTTGGTGTTATTCATAATGTTACACACTTACGGACCTGGGGATATGGCTAAATAGTACATATAGTACATAGGAGTAATGTACTCAGTATCTACCGGGTATCTACTGTACTCACGATCTGATGAATACGACATATATTACTTAGAATAATCATCTTCTTTTTTAGCCGCCTTCAAGTGAATATTTATTGCAAATAAATGTAAATTTTTCTTTTTGATAAAGTATGTCCCCACACCTCATAATATGTGGTTGCAGATGTACCCGTCACATCAACCGATAGTGCACAGCGCAGATATCTGAGGTATATGTGCTTATCACTATGGGAATAGGAAAACATATGTCAAAACACTTCAAGATTTGAAATTCAAAATAAAAATAAATATTTGCATTAAAACATGTGGAAATTCATCAGAAATAACGTTACAAATACATTAGCTTTCCCTACGTTGCATCTCCGTGGCTAGGTTTGATAAACAATCAGTCGCAACAGAAACAGTCATCTATGTACAAATATGAAGAAAAAATATGGTTTCAAATAGAATTCGAGGTATCCACCAGTTGCAGGCGTGTCGCGGCATCTAGATTAGCCCATTAGATAACACAAAGGTCATTCACCTCTGTATGTACTGTGTATAATATTACTTCATCAACTTAATTATCAAATGAGAGATATGGAGAGGCAACATGGAAACATCCAAAGAAAAACAGGGTTGATCCAGTGTGAGTTTTATTCACATAACGACACAGATGCGTCCTAACAAGACAACAAATTCTAGCGGAGGTCACAGGAGTGACGTGTTGGTGAGTGACTTTGGTCAATGAAAGTCAGGTTCATGATTTCGGCAATCACAATGATGAAACCATTGGGTACAAAAATGTCAGGTATACAGATTTCATGATAACGAACGAGCGTCTGAGCATCCACAGGTCACGTGTCTAATAATTATCCTGTTTAAACGACCATTAATGAAACACGTCATTGCCCAACGTGTTTATATAATTATACACTCGGACAGTCAACCTTGCGATTATCCAAACAGTTGATCTAGAATTTTTTGTCACGGATGCTGGTGCAACATTCTTGTCAATCCGTCACACAGATGCTCCCCGACTAAACCCTCCATGACCAGCGCTGTCCTCGGGTACCTCCGTGTCACTACGCCTAGTGGATCTCTCGTCCTGGGTTGTCCTTGACGGTCGTCAGAATATACGCGCCAGGGGCCAGGATGGCAGCGACCATGACGCCCCCCAAGGTCACCTTCTCAGCAAACGACACTCGGACATTCGGGGGACCTGAGACAATTGTTGCTTTCTGCCACACCTGGGTCTTCAAGGGCTGTCCCAACTTCGTCAAGGCCGCTCTCAGAGCAGACGACATCTTTGATATCCTTTTGAAAGACAAATGTTGAATTTCAAGATGGCGACCTTGTTGTCAAGAGCTGAAATCTCGGCAAGGAAATATCTCCCGAGATGTCCAATGTTCGTATTTTATCTTCCCTGTCTGACAAGCTATCGGATTGATATTGTGTCGTAGTCACGTGATAAACAAACCGATATCGGTTCATGACGAGTGGCATTTCGCACGTACAATACAGTGCTTCCGTGTCGTCGCTACAGTCAAACCAACTCGGTAAGCGATGCACGTTGAACACGGAAGCTTTTGACACACTACATCCTGCACACATACCGACTTAAGCAATACACTTCAATGCTTCGCTATATTGCAATACATTACAATTCGAGTTGGCGATTTAACCGAGATGAAAATTTAGGAAATGTCTCGTTGGGTGTATACTGT